TCGAACAATAATGTGTGTGTTAACTGAAAACCATCCTTCCTCTGACATGTATTGAACATCTATTTCTTGAAAGCTAATGGTTGTGTGAAGTTGAGGCAATGCCCTCATACTAAGGTGATTTTTCTTTAGTCCTTCAAGAGACTACAATTAGCAGCATAGATTAGTATGGTCCATTGCCAACGCTTATGCAGTAGGATTTTTAATAAGGAGAGAAATTTTATGCTATTTAGTAATTTCTAAAACTTTTCAATGACCACTATAAAACCTCTCTTACTCAGATTGTTTGTTTTGTGGGAATCTAAAACTATGTGCATGATTTTCTGCATTTAACAAATTGTAGTCTAAATACCAATAAGCATAACCCTGCCCTGGCAAGTATCAGTTTCCCATGATTTTACATTATTGGATACAGTTGTGATGGTTGCATCATATGTGGTGGCCCGCAAGATTAATGAAATTTGCTCGTCGTACAGTCTTTGACATGAACTTATATACAATTTTTCCTGTAAACTTGTGCTGAATTTCTTCTCCTTGATTTCAATATTGTTTACTTCAATGTAATTGACGAAATTGAAAATCTAATTTGGATTCAGGTGTAGCTGACAGAGACCGTGAAAGGAGCAGAGATAGGGGGAGAGATTATGACGACAGAGACAATAGGAGCAGAGAGCGTGATAGCAGGGATCGGCACCGAAGCAGAAGCAAAGAGAGGGATAGAGGAAGGGACTATCGGGACAGAGATTATGATAATGACAGGGACCGAGATTACAGCAGAGACAGGGATCGCTATAGATACCGATAACATTATTAGCAGATTGATCACACTTTATGATTCTGGTTGGTTTAACATGAACCAAAGCTTGCTACTGGTTTTGCATATGCCATAGCTCGCTATAGGTAGAAACTTTACTTGCTTATTGGATTTCTTATGGATGTTTGCTATGTGGAAACCTAAGTTGACAAATCGCATTGTTTTTGACGTGATCATTCGATCCGTTTTTGCATCGTGATGTGATGTCAGTTTTGTTTGGGGGGTGGGAGTAATTAAAGGCCGGAAAAAGTCCTATTGAATGTATGGGCTGAATTAGTGGTTTATTTTCCTGTATTGTATGCACCCCATTTTCTTATAAATGGCTTATATAGTTTAGCGCATAAAAGTTGGTAGGTTCTTGTCAATACTGAGCCGTTAAACCTTTGCCAAATGCGAATTCCCATGCATGGTGTATCAACATAATCCTCAATGGAATGAAACTAGAATTTTATTTTTTATCATATCAGATCATGGTAGAGACGTTCCAATATGTATTTTCATAATATAACGTTTTAACAATATTTTTTTGATGCAAAATGGTTAACAATATTATGTAGAACATGTTTGAAGAGCTAAGACGAAGTACTACGTATATAAAATACTGTAAAAATTTTTTATTTTTATTTTTATTTTTTTGTACGGCAGTAATATTTAGAAAAGTAGTTCTAAATATTTGCTTTCTTTTAAGGAAAGATACAAAACAAATTAGGACAGCTTTCTCTCTGACACTAAATTAAAATTTTGCTTTATGTGTTCTAAATTGGTTACAGTTGACTTTATTTGACTTGGAACATATATTAAAACTGTTATGTAAGGAACACAACTAAATCAACCATCCGTCCTTACAGTATTTCATATTGACCTTACAACTTTCAATAATTGTCCGGTTTCGCCTTGTGGCATTATCAATCACACAAGATCGATATTAACCATATATGTATACCATATAAGAGTAATCACTCCCTTTCTAGACAAACCCCATATTTCACCATATCTATGATTCTCCAAGTTTAGCAGTCTCAATTAAAACCACCGTAATCAGGGCAGTAAGAACTGGTATACCAAAAGCACAAACATCAAGCATTCAAGCTTAGGTTGGATTCCTATAAGCCTATATATCCGCCACCATCGACGAACCACCGTAACAATTAAAGGTCTATCAGATGGACTAAGAGAATAAATAAGCATCGTCCTATTCGTTACCCATTAACAAGTCCAAGAACTTCCTAAGGTCTATCAGATGGACTAAGAGAATACATTAAGCATTGCCTTATTCGTTACTATTAACAAGTCTAAGAACTTCTTGAGCTTTATCAGATGGACTAAGAGAATACCTCAAGCATCGCCTTATTTGTTACCATTAACAAGTCTAAGAACTTCTTGACTTCTTGAGGTCTACCGATGGACTAAGAGAATACATTAAGCATCGCCTTATTCATTACCATTAACAAATTTAGAACACAATTTCAATCCCAATTAACATCAAGATCACACCAAATTAGAAAAATTAATGCAATCAAACATCAACTATGAACAATCAAACAAGCAAAATCGAACAAAACCCTATCAAAATTAACACATTAAACGATTAACAGATAAAATTTTCAGAATTCTCAACAGTATTCCACCACAATAACATCATTAAAACCCTAAACAATTAATCAATTAAAGCACCACCTCTAAGCGCAAGAACAAGATGAAGAACAGAACCACCTTCAATATTATAATCCATTGCAGTTTTTGTTGGAGATAATGTTGAATAGTCTCCTTGGTTGCTTCAAAATAAAAGAACAAATTCCCACGTTGGTGAGGTAAAGAGGTTTTACCCTCTTTATATATTTCATCACTCATATTTATACTTGAGTAACTTGTGTGGGCTAGATATGGGTATCCCCTCGCGCGCCGCCACCCGGCCCGGTTCGTGTTTGTGACACGTGCGCGGGTGTGGGTGTGGCCGGATTTTACACATAATTCTAATATTTTATGTAAACTTTCAAATAACGGTCACAATATCATCGTTGATATTGTAACTGTTATTACTTGGATTCAGTCAAATATTTAACCCTTGATTTACTCCGTAATTATGCCAATCAATTATTTGACTGATTACCTTCCCCAAAATTATCTCTTCATTTTACCGTTTTCTTTGACTAATTACCGAGATTTTCTCCCTTGATTATTCGGCTCTTCTCACTCTAAATACGGGATTGTTTCAGTATTTGAGAACACAGAAAAAACCGACTTCCTCACTGTTTTTCTCATCTCTCTCAAAAAAATATTCAAAACACTATTTGGGCATTGTATTATTGAGTTCTCAATTCATCCTTACGGAGTACACAGTTCGGATGAAGTCGTGTAACCCTGGGGTCAATTGTCGTGAGTCCGTGTGTACGAGTGCAGGGCAAATTCGACTTTAGGGCAGTGATTTCTGTCACGCCACGACAATTCTCTTTGCTTTGAGATAAGTTTTATTTCGTTATTAGCCTTAATTTTCCAACATTCTAAAGTTGAATATTGTTTATATATTCATATTATGGCTGATTCCAAAATTCATACTGCTGTGCCGCTGAATTCTGCCATGGTTAATGCTTTTATTCCTGATATGTCTAAGGTCCAACCCAGTAAGAGCCAATATTAACCCGACTTCCATGGTGGGTGGGCCACATGCCATAATTTTGGCCCAAGACACTATGAAACCACCAGCCATGAACTCAACCCAACCCAAACCTAAACCCAATTTGTGAATAGTCACAAACCTACTTCCTAGGTACACATTCTTCGCAAATTCTTCTATGGACACCAAGCCTATACTTTTGAATATTTAGTAAAAAGATATGAATAATTGCAAATTTTGAACATTTAGTAAAAAATCTGAACATCGCAAATTTTGAACATTTAGTAAAAATATCTGAACAATCGCAATGTACCACTCCTATACTTTTGAACATTTAGTAAAAAATCTGAACAATCACAAATTTTGAACATGTAGTATATTAAATACAACACTATATAATAAACATCAATTTTTTGAAAGAAGCTTGTCTGACTCGTAATAATTCAATAGTTTTGTAATATAAACTGAACGTTTACTGCATATAAAATGAACATTTCCTTATAAAATATGAACATATAAAATTGGATGTTTATGTTCATTTTTTGTGACGTGTTTATACTTTTTTACTAAAGGTTCATTTTTTGTAAGGTGTTCAAATTTTTTTACTAAGTGTTCAAATTTTTTTAGTAAGTGTTCAAATTTAATTTACCTTTTTGCACTATTTTCTTGTTTTTCTTCCATGTCGGTTCGTCAATTTGCAAAGGAAGGGGAATGTGTAGTTCAGCAATTGAAAGAGGAAATGAAAGAATTAAATTTTTCGTCAATTTTTTATTTTAAAAAAATGTCTATTGGGAGCGAAATTAAGAAAGAAAGTGGGAGTGTTTGGACCTAGGTTTTTAGCAAGAAATGAAGTTTGTAGCGTAAATGGGCCTATGGTCACAATAGACTTATTGCACATTCTTTCAAACATACAAGGGAAAGTTCCAAACCTGATTTTCAAATCGTGAACCACTCAACCCTTCCCAAGCTAATTTGGCCCCAATCAACTTGTGTATAGCCCATAGTCCCAACCTATCCTTGTTGATTCTAACCTGACATTACCCAAAAGGGTCTAGTAATTGGAACTTAATGAATTTGATCAGTAAAAACTTATTTAAAATAAACTTTAAAAAGTTGAAGCAAATACACCCCTTGAAAGCTCTAATATCCTACTTGGGGTGCAAATCCAAAAGCAAAATTCATTCTAGCTTGTATGTGCCTAAAGAAGAAATAATCATAGTAATAGAATGAAGAGAGGATTTTTATGGCTTTAAAGAAGAAATAAAGGTCGAAAGATATCATCACATTGGAGTAGACAATTAGGACCCAGATTAATCCAAATGCTAATGGAGCAATCAAGAGATAGTCAATACTCCATCACAGTGTCACCAATTTATTTTCCAAATATCAAGGAAGAGTAGAAGGGGTAAAGCAAATGGCCTGGTTAAAATACAACAGAAAAATACGCCATACTTTCAGGCTAAATAATATTGTGGCTTACCGCACATTTTGGTAAACCTAGTTTGATAGAGTTCCAGTAGCAAGACTAACAACTGGGACATGGATTGACATGTTAACACAGAAGGAAGTGGCTTCATGGGCTGGGAGGTGTAGGTCCACTGGTCACTGAAATGTAACATAATTACGGTCCCAATAGTTGTAGCAAGTCAGACACCTTGTCTGTGTAGTAATCTGGCACGATGTTGTTTGCTGAGTCCTGAAGAGCAGGCAGTGTTGTCACACCTGCAGTAATAGTGCCATAAGCCATAAGGAATTACCACAAATGTAAAATTCGTTTGTTCTACAATTTTTACATTATACAATTTCCGCAATCAAAACAGGTAGTTGGTATACCGGAGAGAACAAGGAGTGTTTTGCAGCCAGCACTCTGTCCAAATAGAATATCAGTATCCAATCTATCACCCACCATGCACATTCTGGAGGTGTCAACATTGAATCTGAATACAAAACGCAGCATTCAAATAATCTAATATACATATTACAATGCTACCAACAGTACAACTAAGCCACTAGCCTGATGAGGACTATATGAAAGGGGCTGGAGGAGTGGAGGTAATGTCTACATTATGCAGAGCTATTGCATCTAATCTAAAATGTACTTACTTCTTTAATAAGAAGTCCATCATGAATGTTGATGGCTTTCCGACCACAACGGGCTCTTTCTGAGTTGTGCCACATACAGCAGCAACCATACATCCAGCACCTGCCACCCAAAATTAAGGAAGAATAAAATGACTGGATGTCATAATTTGTAATTAGTCTGTATAAAATTATTCCAATCTTGTGGGAAATTTAAGGAGATATAGCAAGGAAAGAAGAAAACCGGGCCATTCTTGTAAATCAGTCATATGTCCCACAGCATCACGGTTGGTAGCAATAAATAGGCATCCTGGATTCTCACGAATGCAAAGTGTTGCATACCTGTCAATTAACAGAAGAAGCGAAGGAGATCAGGGAGTACATCCCAAGCATAGTAGCACTAATTAAAGATAAGAAAAAAGCAAGCAGTGAACTTAGCAAATTTTGATATAATTGCACTTTTCACCATTACATTGAGCCCCCTCATTTCTACCTGTAATCGAGTATGAGGAGATGCTTTAAATGTTGAATAAGCCTTCAGATAGAAAACAGTACACGTCGCCCGTTGCAGGAGTAGGTTAATTAAAATTTACGGCAAGCAGGTTGTGAGACAAATAGCAAGATCTGCTTGAGTCAACATAAGCATGGCTAAAAAAAAAAAGATCACAAGTTAACTTGTCCAACAATAGGTGTCTTCTGCAGGTGCTGTAATTTGCGATTAGACCAAACTAGGGTGTCAGAACAGCGTGTGGTAGTAGTAATATTACGAGTGAGTATATTATTATGTAAAAACATGTGTTAATGGTCGTATACAACTTTAAAACAAGGGGTAAGTGAAGAAGTGATCATAAAAGTAGATAAGTATGTGATCATAAAAGCAAGTTCCTAATTCATCAAACAGAAAGGCAATGATGACATAAAGAGCAAAAAGAAGGCATAGAAAAATTACTGGAGCTTGTAAAAGTTAATATACTGATCCAATCCAACCACAACAGCTCCTACCTGCAATGCAAATCAGAGCAAAACACAAAAACTAAATAAAAAGAGAATTGAAGGTGTTTGAAATAACAATAATTAAAGAGGCAAGATAAAGTTACATTACAGTCTTGTCATGGTGAAAAAACAGATTTTGTTTGAGTTCAATTTTCTTATTAGCATCTTCCTGTGGCAAGATCAATGTACAATCCATAAGACTACGTATGCGTGTGATAATGGACGGGAATTCATACAGGGCCACCAAGGGATGTAAAGCCGGCAAGGTGCAGCTCCTCTACAATGCCTTCTCCACCAATAACATAAACCTGATAATATGATTTAATTTACACTTGGTGTTAGATACGAGTATACAACAATAGAAACAAAACGTATAATAATAGTGAAATAGGGTGTGACCTTTTTATTGGGAGGAAATTGTATGGATTTCAAGTACATAGCAGCTGCGAATGAGGAGCTGAATATCTCATCCTGCCCAAATAATAATTACAATACTCGTTGTTTGGGTCCAATTTAGTCCAATTGGGCCTAAGCACTAAATGATTCAATTAAAAGCCCAAGGTCAAGGTTCAACTCTCCAATTGTGCTAAAGTCAAAGGTCAGCCCACAAAGCAAGCCAATTGGGCTAAGGCCCAACCTCTCCATATATGATGAGGTATAAAAGCCATCATATTGATACATTCAAAGGGAGATTCATTCTGATTCATTCTGATTCATTCATAGATTCATATGTTCATTCATATATTCTGATATATTCCATAAAAGCCTCAAGCAACAAACTCTCTTGCATAGTGTCTTCTTCTTACACATTGTACTGACTTTAGCATCGGAGGGGCCTTCCTCGGCAACACCCCGAGGCTAGTTTACGTGTGTTTACTGTGCAGGAAACCTTCGGCCCAACATAACTTGGACCGAATCCAGCCTTCCCCATTTCAGCGGACCTTCGGCAAGGTCCCATTGTTTTCACCCGAAACAATTTGGCGCCGTCTGTGGGGAAGACTTTCAAAAATCTTTAAGCCAAATACCTAACCAAGATCATCTTGCAATTATCTTAGCAACAATGGCTAAGAACCGCAAATATTTCCCAACCACTCTCAAGGGGGTCGCGCAAGCGTGGATCTCCAAGGGAGTAAGGCAAGGCTCCGTAACAGGGTGGGATGATCTGTCCTCCAAGTTCAGGAGCAAGTTTTCCACGGCAAACCGCCGAGAGAAGACTACCGCAGAGCTCATGAGTCTGCAACAGGGGGAAACCGAAAGCCTCCGAGACTACTTGACCCGTTTCAGTAACGAGTCATCAAGCGTCTCCCAGCTGGACCAGGGGCTAGCCGTTTTCGCAATGCAGAATGGCCTTCAGCCAGGAAAGTTCCTAGACTTCATGGTCATGCATACCCCGCAGACCTTGGAGGAAGCTCTTAGTGCTTCGGATAAGTTCATCCGAGCCGAAGAATGGAACAAAGCGAAAACCCAACCTCAATCCGGGGGAGGGAAACAGAGGCAAATACCCTTGTCTGAAGGCCAAGGCCATAAGGCAAAGGGAAAGTCAAAGGCCCCGGAGCAATCTTTGGCCAACGACCCAAAGAAGGAAAGATTTGCCTCATACACAGGCAGATACGAGTCCTACACTCCGCTCTCTCTTCCACGCGCCAAAATTTACAGTGTGACGAAGGAGGAGCAGAGTTACCGAAAGCCGAGACCACTCCCAGAGTGGTATCAGCGAAAAAATAAAAATCAGTGGTGTGAGTTCCATGAGTCTTCGGGCCACAACACTGAGGAGTGTATCCAACTGAAGGACCAGATAGAGGACATGGTCCGGAAGGGATACTTGAAAAAATACATCGCGGATCACCGCGAGAAAAAAGAATCCGAGAGGTCAGCAAAGGACCCTCGGCAGGACCTCGATTTCCCCCGGAAAAACAGTAAAAAGCCGGAGGGGAAATTCCCTCCGATCAATGTTATCTCGGGAGGAATATACTCTCGGAGGGAGCACAAGCGCCACCTTAGAGCTTTGACTCACCAGGTGAACAACGCTGACATTCAATCTCCCCAGTCGCCGGTGCCGAACATGACGTTCACAGCCGCCGACTGCCGGGGGATTACGTTCCCTCACAAGGATCCGTTGGTGATCATCGCCACGGTGGCCAACCACGACGTCAGTAAGGTCCTTGTTGACGGTGGCAGTGGAGCAAACATTCTGTTCCGAAAGGCCTACAATCAAATTAAGCTGAAGCCCAAGCACCTTACGCCGGTACCCTATCCGGTATCCGGGTTCAATGGGGCTTCAACTTATCCAGATGGGAAGGTGACACTTCCTGTCACCATCGGTTGCGATGAGGCAGCCCGGAACGTCATGATTGAATTTTTGGTCATCGACGCTCCTTCAGTGTACAACGTGATTTTGGGGAGACCCATAATTCACGAGATCCAAGGGGTCGTCTCAACTTATCATCAGCTGATGATTTACGTCTCAGACGCCGGCTTCCCCGAAAGGATACAGGGCAACCAAAAGGACGCCCGAAGGTGCAACTACCTCAAGCCATCCAGTAGTCGCCCAGATGACGACAAGGATGAGGAGGAGAAAGAAAGAGAGCCAAGCACAAAAAAGCCGAAAGGCCTAAGTGCTTCGGCCCAAGGATCTGTGCCCAGAGAAAAAGGGCCCGAAAGGGAAAAGGCTAGCTCTTCAGCTGAGCCGCAAGACTCAGAGAGCCAGCCGAAGAACAAAAAGACTGGGACACCTGCTGACATTGGCAGCAGGCCAGATTCTGAAGAGTCCAGTCCATCGGCAATGGACATGGACCAACAGACTGAAACAGTTGAGTTGGCCAAAGGAGACGGTGAGAAATGTGTAGCAATTGGGATGGACCTTGATCCGAACACCCGTTGTGAACTTATTCAGCTCCTTCGGGACAACAGAGATGTGTTTGCTTTCTCGGCAGCTGATATGCCCGGGATAAGTTCAGACCTCATCTCTCATAAGCTTAATGTTGACCCGACGTGTCGACCAGTTAAGCAAAAGAAGCGGAATTACTCCGCCAATAAGAACCAAGACATCGCAGCCGAGGTCAAAAAATTATTGGAGGCAGGATTCATTGAACCTTGCCAATATCCAGAATGGCTGGCAAATGTGGTGATGGTTCAGAAGCCCAATGGTACCTGGAGGATGTGCGTTGACTTCACGGACCTAAATAAGGCTTGTCCAAAGGATTTCTATCCCTTGCCGAGAATCGATCAGCTAGTCGATTCGACAAGTGGCCATGCCTTGCTTAGCTTCATGGACGCATTCTCGGGGTATCATCAGATCTTTATGCACCCCGACGATCGAGCCAAGACAGCATTCGTCACGAACGCTGGGGTGTACAATTACAAAATGATGCCCTTCGGATTGAAAAATGCGGGGGCAACCTATCAAAGGCTGGTGGATCAAGTTTTCGCCGATCAAAAGGGCCGAAACATGGAAGTCTATGTTGACGATTCGATCGTCAAAAGCAAAAAACTAGAGGACCATGTAAAGGACCTGGCTGAAACTTTCGCCACCTTGAGAAAGCATCAAATGAAGCTGAATCCGAAGAAGTGTGTCTTCGGCGTGAAGTCAGGGAAATTCCTTGGGTTCATGGTCAGCAAAAGGGGGATTGATGCCAATCCCTCTAAAGTCAAAGCGGCGCTCGACCTTCCTGAGCCGAAAACGAAGCGGGATGTTCAGCGGCTCACCGGAAGAATGGCAGCCCTCTCGAGGTTCATTTCCAGAGCTTCGGATAAGGGGTTACCTTTCTTCAAAGCCATGAAACTCCCGAAAACAAAAGAGCTCGTTTGGGAGGAAGAGCAAAAAGACGCCTTTAAACAGCTTCGGGAGCATCTGGCTCAACTCCCAACGCTGGCTAGCCCAGCTGAAGGAGAAACTTTATACCTATATGTGGCCGTTAGCCCAGCCACCATCAGCGCAGTATTGCTGAAGGAAGAGAGTAAGAGTCAGCAACCGATCTACTTCGTCAGTCATACACTGACGGATGCCGAGACTCGCTATCCTCTACTCGAGAAAGTTGCTTTCGCGGTAGTAGTAGCTGCTCGGAAGCTGAGGCCCTATTTTGATTGCCATTAGATAGTGGTCTTAACTGATCAGCCGTTGGAAAAAGTTCTCGGCAAGGTTGAAAAATCTGGTAGGCTAGCCAAGTGGGCTTTTGAGCTCACCGAATTCAGCATCAGCTACCGTCCGAGGGCTGCCATTAAGGCTCAAGCTCTAGCGGATTTCTTGGCCGAATGCTCATACCAAGAAGCGCTAGACAGTGAAAAGAAAGTCTGGACCGTGTTTACGGATGGGTCTTCCACCGAAAACGGTTCGGGGGCAGGAGTAGTGATAACTTCTCCCGAAGGCAAATCCTTTGAGTATGCACTAAAGTTTTCTTTTAAGGCCTCGAACAATGAAGCCGAGTATGAGGCAGCAATCGCCGGCCTAAAATTGTGCATCTCCTTGGAAGCCGATCATGTCTGCTTAAAAACAGACTCTCAGCTAGTTGCATATCAGATCAGTGGCAGCTACGAGGCCAAAGAGCCCTCCATGATAGCTTATCTTGCCAAGATCAAATCAGTCATTGCAGAGCTGAAAACTTTTGAGGTTCAGCTGATCCCAAGGGGTCAGAATACTCAAGCCGATGCACTCTCCAAACTTGCTAGTTCATCTTTTACCGAGCTGAACAGATCTGTATATGTAGAAGTGCGTCGAGAGAGAAGTGTCGACGAAGCACCTGAAGTGTGTTGCGCTGACCCAGAGCCTAGTTGGATGGACCCCATCCTAGCTTTCAAGCTTCGGGGAGAAACTCCTGAGGATAAAGCTTTGGCCTCCAAGATGAAGAGAACCAGTTCTAGGTTCATTGTCTTCAGGGGGGAACTTCTGAAAAAGTCCTTCTCAGCCCCATTGCTGAAATGCGTGGGACCAACAGATGCAGATTATATCCTACGGGAGATTCACCTCGGCATCTGTGGGAACCACATTGGGGGAAGAACCTTAGCCCACAAGGCATTGAGGGCTGGATATTACTGGCCCACCATGATCGCAGATGCTAAGGAGCTGGTTCGGAAATGCGAAAAATGTCAAAAATACGCTCCAGTTATCCATCAGCCAGCAAGGGATCTTCAGCCGATCCTTAATCCACTCCCGTTTGCCCAATGGGGACTGGATATACTGGGACCATTTCCAGAGGCTGTGTACCAGAAAAAATGGTTGATAGTTGGTGTCGACTACTTCAGTAAATGGATCGAGGCCGAAGCAGCTTCGAACATTACAGAGCAAACTGTCAGAAAATTTATCTGGCAGAATGTCATCACTCGCTTTGGCATCCCGAGAGTATTTGTCTTCGATCATGGGAGGCAATTTGATAACTTACCGCTGAAGCGGTATACATATCAGTTCGGCATCAGACTGGCATATTCAGCGGTATGCCACCCGCAAAGTAACGGACAAGCCGAAGCTGCAAATAAACAGATCTTAAATGCCCTCAAGAAGAGGGTGGAAGATCAAAAGTCCAAATGGCTAGAGGAGCTCCCTGGAACCCTTTGGTCCCTTCGGACAACTGAAAAAGAGGCAACGGGCCACTCACCTTTTGAACTGGTGTATGGTGCCGAAGCTGTCCTTCCAGTGGAAATTGGCTCTGAGAGCCTTCGAGTGCACCACTTCTCGGTTGAGAATGAGCGACTGATGAGGGAATCTCTCGATTTCCTCGACGAAGTAAGAGACTCAGCCCGAGATAGAATGGCCGCCTATAAGCAGAGAATCAGCAAATTTTATAACCGAAGGGTCCATGCAAGGCCTCTCAAAATTGGAGACCTTGTCCTTCGGAATGCCGCTGCAGTTCAGAAAGGCCGAATCCATGGGAAACTCTCAGCTGCATGGGAAGGACCTTATGAAATTTATGATGAGCTTCAGCCAGGGACATACCGACTTCGGCAGTTGGATGGAACTGAGTTGAAAAATCACTGGAACGCTGATGTACTGAAAAAATACCATGTGTAAACCCTTCGGGGCAGAACAATCTTTGTAAGTACATTTTGAACTAATGAAAGGCCTTGGAGCCGCCATTTATATAAATGTTTACAACTTTTTATCCTTTCAAAATTTTCTTTGTTCTATCTACTCTTTTAGGGTTTTTTATATCAGCCTCGTCTGAAACCTTCGCCTTCGGGTAACTGGGTTTCAGATTGCTGACAAAACTCGTCTTTTTAAAGAACACTGGTCTTTCAGCTGAAGTCAAACTTCAGTAAGACTTGTTCTCCAAAGACATGAGTCCATGGACAATTCTGGGATATTGCCTTAACTGAGCCTTGTATCCTAGAGAGCCATTATCCGAAACATTGCCTTAAGTTGGCCCTGTGTTTCGGGTATCCATTTTTCAAAGATAGACAGAAAATCAAGGATAACAGCAACAGTTGAAAATTTTTTATATCAGCCTCGTCTGAAACCTTCGCCTTCGGGTAACTGGGTTTCAGATTGCTGACAAAACTCGTCTTTTTAAAGAACACTGGTCTTTCAGCTGAAGTCAAACTTCAGTAAGACTTGTTCTCCAAAGACATGAGTCCATGGACAATTCAGGGATATTGCCTTAACTGAGCCTTGTATCCCAGAGAGCCATTATCCGAAACATTGCCTTAAGTTGGCCCTGTGTTTCGGATATGTGTCTTTTTAAAGAACACTGGTCTTTCAGCTGAAGTCAAACTTCAGTAAGACTTGTTCTCCAAAGACATTAGTCCATGGACAATTCTGGGATATTGCCTTAACTGAGCCTTGTATCCCAGAAAGCTAATATCCAAAGCATTGCCTTCAGTTGGCCCTGTGTTTCGGATATCCAACTTTCAGATGAAGTCAATCTTCAGTAAGACTTGTATCCCAGAAGCATTGCCTTCAGTTGGCCCTGTGTTTCGGATACCCATTTTGAAGAAGTGAAGAAATTGCTTATTCCGCTGAAGTCATACTTCAATTTCTGGGGGGCAAGAAGCACTCTCAGTGCAAGTATGTACGGCAGAATTGAAGAAACAGAAACAGTAAAGCATTCAAAAACAAAGCAACTGAAGAAAAGAGCATCAGATATATAATTCATGCTCAGAAATTGAGCTACAAGTTCAATTAAACTGTATCGGCAGCCGCCCACAAGCGGAAAATAACAGCTCACCGAGGTCTTCAGCAAAGCCTCGTCTTCTTCAGCTGCTCTAGCTGCAGCTTCTGCTTCAGCAGCTCTGGAGGACCCTTCTCCTCCTTCGCAAGCTTCGAGAACCCGTGCAACCTCTTCGGCTGTGCGGGCAGCTTCAGCTTCTTCGTCCAGCAGCTGAAACCAGGGGTCTCTCTTCTTCCACCAAGGCTTCTGCCTCTGATACAGAGCAACAGCCTCAATTTGGAAGTGGGAAGAGTCTAGATGAACTTCCCTATGCCTCGGCTCAGTGATAGACGGGGCCCGTTCAGTTACAACTCGTTCTCGGTTGACACCAAGACGAGCGTAGTTAATGCCAACGTTGGTCTCGTCCCGCTCTGAAAAAAGGAAAGGGGAAAGGTTAGCTCAGATAGGTTGGCACAGCATAAAAAAGCGAAGCGAGAGAAGAAAAAGAGAGTTAAAAAGCCTCGGCCCCAGCCGAAGAAGCTTACCATCCTTAAACTTTCGGCTGAGGCCAACAGCTGCTAGCATGTTCTCTTGGAAAACGTAATGCGTATCGGGGAGCCAAGTCTCCGGGATATGCTGCATTCGGCCACTGCCCCCCGGTTCGGCAGCTTGCCGAAGATATGTTGCTGATCCAGGTTCGGATCCGCCCCGTTATCTGCGGGGGGACCTAGACTTCCCATTTCGGGATCAGGCTCAGCGAGGTACCGGGGAGCGCTGAAGACGCAAGGGTGGCCCGGATCTGTGGGTGCCCTAACCCAAATCCATTGACCTCTCCAGTCCTTGTCTGAAGAGTCGTTTGGCCACATGGTTAGGTATTGGGGCCGGGACTCAATCCGGTACCACCCAGAACCATGGCTTCCGTGCCCACTTTGAATATTTGGCACTAGCCGATGGAGCTTTTTGAAGCAGTGCAGGTTCGGCACGTACTTGAAGAACTTGCAGACCCATAAGTATGTCATCACCCTTCGGATGCTGGTGGGAGTTAACTGACATAGAGAGATGTTGTAATGGATCAGCAAGTCTCGGACGAATACGTCCAAAGGGAACCTCAGCCCGTACTGAAGCTGTCTTGTGTACACCCCCACATACCCCGGGGGTGGACGATGGATTCTATCGGATGCCGAGGGCATTCGGCACCAATACCCATCAGCTTCAAAAATGCCGTAATGCAACTCAATTTGCTCGGCAAATCGATATTGATCGGCATTCTCCACCCACCATGGGTAGGGGCGGTTCTTTATCATGGCCGAAGCAACTTCGGCATTCTCCCATTCTGAAAACCCGGGGAGGATATCCCAAAGGACAGCGGGAACTTCATCATCCCGTCCAGAAGCGCTCGGCTCCTCCGTTCTCTGAGGAGGAGCCGAGGAAAGGGGAGTCGCCCTATCCCTTCAGCAGGGTCAGACTCTGGCCTTTGTCCATTCCAGGTCCCAATCCTGTTCCTAGGATCGGGAATCGGCCTTTCTCTTCTTGGAGCACGGGCTCTACCTCTAACTCCTCTTGCCATTGATTATTTCGAAGAAAAAAGTCGAAAGAAAAGGGGAAGGAGTTCGAATTCGAAGAAAAATAAACTGAAATCAAAGGAATTTACCTTAATCTGAAGCGAAAGTTGCCGATTTACGAGTTCGTAGTGGCAAGTCTCAGTTTCTAAGATTAATGCTCGGGGAATTTGCGAAGTTTTGATGCGGGTTCTTGGTTTCTCTCTCGAGAATTCTGGGTTTGTGTTGGTGAATAAGTGAGGAGAGATGACGCGCCTCTGTTTATATCTCCAGGTATGGGATACGAGGAGTCTGCGTTTTAATTTCTCTTAAATACTCCACTAAGTAACCGTTAAACACATGATCTTGTGATTAAACTGCCCATTATCCGTCCAACTTCCACAATCATTAACCGTTGTTATCTCATTAATTACGGTTTAAATTCAAATTTTTGGATTAATTAAATCATTTACTTCCCTCCTTTTCTGAATTAAATCAAACCCGACCCGTCATCCTTCCAAATCGGGTCTGGGGGGCAAGTTGTTTGGGTCCAATTTAGTCCAATTGGGCCTAAGCACTAAATGATCCAATTAAAAGCCCAAGGTCAAGGTTCAACTCTCCAATTGTGCTAAAGTCAAAGGTCAGCCCACAAAGCAAGCCAATTGGGCTAAGGCCCAACCTCTCCATGTATGATGAGGTATAAAAGCCATCATATTGATACATTCAAAGGGAGATTCATTCTGATTCATTCATAGATTCATATGTTCATTCATATATTCTGATATATTCCATAAAAGCCTCAAGCAACAAACTCTCTTGCATAGTGTCTTCTTCTTACACATTGTACTGACTTTAGCATCGGAGGGGCCTTCATCGGCAACACCCCCGAGGCTAGTTTACGTGTGTTTACTGTGCAGGAAACCTTCGGCCCAACATAACTTGGACCGAATCCAGCCTTCCCCATTTCAGCGGACCTTCGGCAAGGTCCCATTGTTTTCACCCGAAGCACTCGTGTTAACTTGAAGAGTAGTGGTTCAAAATTCGAATAAGTAAAAAGTAAAAATTGAAGCGTCTCAGAAACGCCATCAATGAGCTTGTCACCTTTCCATATTACACCTACCAAACACAAACACGAATACAAAGATATCTGATTTAAATCTGTTATTAAGAAAACAACTACTTGTATAAGAATTAAGAAATGAAAGGCCTACGCATTGCATACCATCGCAATCAAATAGGAAAGCGTCCACTGAGTTTAATAGACTTGCGCCATTTTCGCCATTCAGAACCTCTGCGCTGCTGCTGTTCATTTCTTGCTCTGTCTTTTCAGATTTTTTTTTATTTATTTTTCATCCTCCTTGTTATCTTTTATTTATTCTACAATGATTTTGGAGTTGCTAAACATCGCTCGCAAATCTCTACATAAAGCCCGCAAATTTTAGTTGAATTGACACTTTTGCCCTTATATGTAAAAAAAACAAAAAAACTCACACACTCTCATCTTCTCTCTTCCGTCTACTCTCTCATCACCTCTCTCTAAAAAAAAAATCTTCAAACTATAATGTCGAGGCGGCAAGGCAAGGAATTGGAGGCAGCGGAGGCGGAGGATATACACTGCTGCATCACATAGTTTACCATTGCCGGACACCATTGGTACGCATCCTTGAAGTTATCCAAGGCTCAATCGTACTCTACCTCTGTGGTAGCTTGCAGGATCTTCCGCCACTTACCATTTAGCAATCTCTCTGCTAAATGTAAATTGTAAATTCTTGTTGAAAATGTGGTAGGCTTTGACTTTCACAACGTTGTTGATGTGTCATGTGCACAATAGATGCTTTGATTCTGGAAACAGCTCCGCTATAGGGGCAAAGAGACCTCTCTCACAATCACTGACGATGGTTGATGGCTGAACATTAGGGCCGATGTAGTTTCTCAACTTCTCCAACACCCAATAATAACTCGCAGCCATCTCATCCGTGACGAGTGCATCACCAATCAGAAAGTTCTGGTTCGTTGGAGCCATCCCAATCATCTCAACCAGTGGGAACTTGTGCTTGTTTGTCTTGTATATTGAATCGATTAAAATCACAGATGGCCAAGACTTGATCATATCAGCACAATAAGGATGCACAAGGAATAAATGAGTCACCTCGAATGTCTCTTCATCAGAATAAAACCAGAACAAGTAACCACGTGCTTGTGCCTGGTGTAGAAACTGCTATATAGGGTTCCTTCCCTCTGACCGTTCAAACCTCAATTTCTATCTACGTTGTAGATGTGTCTTCGGTTCTGGCTGGTCTTCAGGAAATTTCTCTAACACAGATGCTAATATTTTAGCAGGCTTCACTTAAGCATCACTCGTTTCTTTGACAACTAATTTTGCAGCAGGACTTAGGCCGCTTAACTATCGATGACCCAATGGATATACAATCATCTCATGGTTGTGATACCCCCATCTAGAGTAACCCTTCACTTCCCAACCATCACGGCTTCGGTGTTGTCGAACCTTTACTCTGAACTCACACCCACAACCTTTCCGCTTTGTATCAAACCGAATCGCTGTACAGAAATCTCGTTCCTCCCTTTTGTGATAACGGTCGCATCTCAAAATGCGATCCATTCTACTATCCCGTTGAGATTTATGAGTTGCTACTATTAAACAAAAACCAGATCTAATTGCAACCTGTTTTGCCCAATTAATCGCTTGTTGAGCATCTTTGAAGGGACCATCATGTACAAAAATCCCACTATAATCATTCCCGTCTCCACCATAATCCTACAACAATGACATATTATTTTTTAAATACATAGAATCATATAAAGATTAAATAAACACATTTAACACATAATTAATTTCTAAATTTTTTATTTGTAAATTTAATTTCTATATTTAACGCATGATTAATTTCAAAATTAACACATAATTAATTTCTAAATTTAACACATAATTATGTATAAAAGCATTCATACAAAATTAACACAATTTTTTTTTTGGAGATTATTAACACATATTTAATTTCAAATTAGTATCAAAGTTCAAAAACCAAAAAAAAAAAAAAAAAAAAAATGAGGAATTGCAGGTGGCTTCTGGCCGGGCCGCAGCCACCGTGGTTGTGGCGTCTGGCCAGGACGTCGTCACCGTGGCGGTGGCGCCTAGCCGGGACGCCACAATCGTGACTGTGGCTTCCCGATCAGACGTCACTACCACGGTGGCGGCGTCCGGCCAGACGCCACAACCACAGTTGCGGCGGCCGGCCAGCCGGGCCAGACACCACCCCCACGGTGGCGTCGGTCAGGCAATACGCCGGCCAGCATTTCGTAATTTTTGACCGAAAAGTACCTCTCTTTCCAGTGACAACGACGACTCTCTGGTGTCCTCGGCGATCCACTATAGCTCATCATTTTTCGTGAGAGAGAATTACGTTTTGGGTAAAAATTAGAAAAAGGGAAAAAGCTTCAAAATAAAAATAATTGTGGGGTTTATGTAGAGATTTGCCGGCGATGTTTAGCAATTGACAAAAATGGATCGAGAACTTCACCTAAAACAATAAAAACTTTTTTTTTTTTGTAAGGCAGCCCCGATATCACAATTAGAGAAACATTAAATGTTTTTCCAGTCTAGTTTTTCCTCTTTAAGTGTTAGACGATATTCACTTCACCTAAAATAATATTAAGTAAAAATAATTTTAGTTCGGTAAAAATAATTTTAGTTCAGTAAAAATAAGTTCAGTTCAGTAAAAATAATTTCAGTTCAGCATAAATAAGTCCAGTTCAGTAAAATTCAGTAATTTTAAAGAAGAAATATAATATAAAATCAGTAAAAATAATTTCAGTTCAGCAAAAATAATTTCAGTTCAGTAAAATTAATTTCAATTCAGTAAAAATAATTGAAGTTCAGCAAAATAATTTCAGTTCAGTAAAAATAATTTCAATTCAGCAAAAATAAGGTGAAGTGAACGGGGCCTTAGAAACTGGTCCATGAGCTAAGTAAAGTAAATGAATTAGAGATAGATAGCTTGGAGAAGCTAAAGAGGTGAACAGCGGCGGAGCCACAACACAGTGAATGGGTGTATAAAATTAGGAAAGCATCAAACAACAAACTATATAAAATTAATTTAAATTCTCAATTTTATAGCCTTTTATGATCATTTCATAAGTTGGTGTATGTGGTCATACTTGCCAATTCCTTGCAAATGGGATCATGTAAGAGCAAATCCCTTATATGAGAACCCCAATTTATGTGAAAATAAATCTAGATCTTTGAATTTTTAATCTAAGGGCCGTGATTATTCCCTAAAAAATCAAAACCAAAAGAGTATTTTAAACCAACCCCCTTATTTATCTCTTTCACCTCTACATTTCTTTCTTTTTCTCTCCTCTCACCTATTGTTTAGTATACATCATCAACTTCACGCCATTAATTTCGAAGAAATTAAGCTTAACTTCTAATCAACCATGACGTCTTTGTATTGTGCTCATATCACCATCATCTTCGCGCCATTAAAAACAAGGAAATTAAGCTCGAATTCAGGTCAATAATTGCGTCTTCGAGCTCCAATCGGCGACAATTATGTTTGCCATCAACAACATCGCCATTAATATCATTGTTATTTACTTTGCAACATCAATAACAAAGAAATCAAGCTCAAAATTCAGACCAATTATGTCATTTTTGAGCTCCTCAACGACAATTATGGTCGCGTGTTCCGGTGAAATTGAAAGATTTCGGCTATCGAAAATGAGTTTAATGAGTTTGTATTATGTGATGATAGTATGGAGCAATTTTCTAAGATTCTAATATAAGTTTGTTCATTTTTATTGTATGTGTTTTTACTCATTTTAATATAGTTTGCTCATTTTAATTTCAGGGGCTCATTTGTAAAGGATATGAGCAGAACAACATGTATTAAATTAACCTTATGAAGTATCTACTTCAAAAATAGGCAGAAAATGAAGTGCATAATATAAACTAGTATACGGTTGGTCTCTTATGGTCCAACAATTGTTTACAATTGTCTCCTATAGTATTGAACATAGAAGTACGGAGCTCCGTCAAACTGAAGATGTTTGGGTAGTGAGTATGAACAAGGTGAAGGAAGTTCCTTCGAAAGCTCTTCCGAGCTATACCTCTAGCATAAGATGGGCGCAGGATCCACCAAGTACAAGAAGTCTCCCCCTGGAAGGAATTCTTTTGAATCTGGAGGATAGGAAGCCATCATCTGTTCCACGTGAGCAGCTATCTGCGGATAGAAGCCTCACAGATCTTCTATAGTGGGGAGTTGAGCTGGAAGTACTTCTTCTTCGTCTGCTTTTTTCATGCACATGCTGTTGAACGGTGGATTGATCAGCTTTGGGTGAAGGTAGGCTTTCCTCAGAATTCATGGTTTGACCTTGATTCTCATAGAAGGAGCTTGCATGAAGTAGATCCACTCGTCGGGGTCCACTTCCGCCCAAGTCATAGTCGGTTTGTCCCGGAAGTACCACATGGATAGGCACAGGCCCTTCCGAACACTTGAGTTGGGGGTTAAAAGGAGGGTGTGGAAATGGTTTTGTCTGAGAAGGTGGATTTTGTTGGTTTTCCAGCAGGGCTTGAGCAATTCCTTGCTAAAAGTAGGGGATGTTTGAGGAGGAAGCTGAGGGGACTGAACTGGGTTCCATTGTTGAAGCTTGGTTGGGGATGAGGAAGCTGGAGAGTGGGTAAGAGAGGTTATGCAAGAGGAGGGTTAGATTCTGTGTAAGGCACGATAGAAGAAAGGGACGGCTGAGATTTAATCTGGAGAGATGGACGGCTATCAGATAACGATAAATCCAGAGGTTGGGAGGATGACACGTCATTGTTGTCACATGCAGAAGGTATTCGTCAAAATATTGAAATTTGAATGGTTTGGGCGGGAATTAGAGGAGATAGAGTTTTGCTTAGGTTTTTAGGATTTCCGATTGATCACCTGAGTCCAACCATTTGAGGTAGCAGCCACCTCACCATAAAGGGTGCCAGGAGAGTTGCCCAATCCAAATACCTGTTTTCTTCGGCTGTGCAATATCAACCAGAACTTGAAATTCCTTCTCCCTGTATTTGAGTCGAGCTTGATGAATTTTCCAAGAGAGTTCCCTATGTTCTTCAAGAATTAAGGGGCGAAGAATTCAAGAGGGAGGTTAACCCAATCAGGGTATAATGAGATTGATGCTTCCGACGGCTTAAATCCAGGCATCCAAGGTTGAACATCGAGGAAGGTGGAGTTTATAAACCATGGTCCACCTTCAAGGATTTTTGGAAGTAAAGCAGGTGGGGGTTTGACCACAAAGAAGCCTCTACCAATGGCAGAGAGAGAAACCGGTGTGGGTAAATTCCAAAGCACCACCAAGCGCTGGATGAGAAAATCCGTGGCAAAAGATTTCCCCACAGGTTTGATTACTGAAGAAGACCACGGTGATATCAGGGAAGACAGGGTGGAGATAGGGAGAGGGATGAAGGATTCAACCTCAGGATTGAAGGCTTGAGGGTGGTCAGAGGAGCATAGAGGGTGTTCTTTCGGAGGAGGACAGAAGGGCAGCTTTAAAGGTGGTGGCAGAGCGTGGATTGGGTAGGGGTGGAGGTTCAGGAGGGGAGGGTTCTCTTTCTCAATCTCTCTCATGGTTTCGTTCGCATAACCTGAAGCATTTATCTGTGTATGATTATGATGGTGTAAAAATGCCTGGTTGGTTAACCCTTCTTCCAAATATTGTAGAGCTTAATCTGATTAGATGTTCGGAATTAGAGTACTTGCCATGCATGGGAAATTTGGGTCATCTGAAATCCATTCAACTTAGTAATTCAGAAAACTTGGAGTACATAGGAGTAGATGATCCTTCATGGGCTAATTCTTGTTCAGCGATGCCTATATCTGGGTTGGGAAGCTCTGATAAGGAACTATCATTCTTTCCCTCCCTTGAAGAAATTTGGTTAAAAGGTCTGCCCAAGTTGAAAGGATGGAAGACAACAGTGGCAACAAGCTCCAATCACAGCGATTACTACCATGTTTTTCCCAACTGCAGACATTGAAGATATACAGTTGCCCGGAGTTGACATGTCTTCCGTCATGTCCTAATTTGGAAATCCTAGATTTAATCGACCTCAACAAAGGGCTGCAAATAATAGAAAGGAAAAGTGATGAAGTTGCTCCTGCATCCTCGTCTACGTCTACACCCGGTTATGAGATTGTAACTCCCAAATTACAGTGTGTTAGTATCTTCATGAAATGCCAACCAGTTCATCAGCTACAACCAATCAAATGCCCAATCATCACTTCAATTGATCGTTCTTAAGTCTGTTCAGGGACTATCAAACACAGTACATGCTTATGAACTCATCAGTTACTACTGTTCGTTCGTTCGTACGAACTCTTCAAGATCCGTAGGCCATCAATTCATCAGTTTGTATATTTATGTTATAATTAGTAAATGATTGGACCTCCTTTGTTTCCTTTATGATTGATTTGGGTGTGCCACTAATACTCTTCTTTTTAATCATATTTTCTGATTTGATGTAATTTTTCTTATTCAAAGATAAAAGGCTGATTGGTTTTCAGTCACTAACTCAAGTTTAATAAGACACTTGACTTGTGAGCTTAAATGCTAGTGACGATTACTTGATAGTTGATATCTACAAAGTATAGTTTCTGTCTTAACTCTCATGAAACCATCTACTGCTATTTTAATGTACTTCCTTTTGTTGCTTATAAGATATGTCAATTGTCAATAACGTTTCTTCAAATCTACAACATCGTTAATGACTTTTGTTCTGTTGCAGATTAATATTTGCCTTGGATACGTTCACAACAATATAAGAAGTATTATTATCTTAGCGGGAGGAAACAGGTTTCTCAGCTAAGATTTTTGGGTCACTTGGCTATAGTTGTTTTTCAACTGAGTTTCAGATTGATTGGTGTACAGTCAGGCGTCTATGTTGTACTTCGTATAAATCTATGCGCAGCTGGCCTGGAACAGAACTCAAGACGGAAGTGCAATTTCAAGGGACTAGTGTTTAGAAATTCTGTGTAAGTTGGTGCCAATGTACTTGAGCTGATATTATAAGATGTTCAGTGCGTGGTATATTTAAGGCATGATTAGACTGAAAAAGGCAATCCTTTATGGCCTTCTTTGTTTGTAGTCAATCCTGAGGAGGCAAATTCAGAGTGCTATTTTTTTTTCTGGGATCATGCTCTATTGGAACAGGCAAATAGCCATCCCCAACTTGATCATTTAATTGTTAATCTGGCTGCACAGGCGCACAGCACACCCCTTTCTTAAAATCTGCGTTGGAAGGGCACACCATATGTCGCGAGCACTTTCAAGGTGAAGAATCCTTGCTGAAAAGTTCACCTTGAAAGCTCCCGCTTTATGAATTTTTTTTTTATGAGAAAGCGACATGTGTACAGATTTGGAGAAATATGATGTCAGAATGTTTTGTTTTAGTAATAGTTAATAAGTAATCACAAATTCTTGATTAAGGTGGATTTTTATTAAGTCATTGTAAGATGGGTTAAAGTTTCTCTAAAAATATTTAAAGTTACCCTTTTATACTACAAAAGTTACTATTTTTATAACAAATAATCTTACCCTTAAAAAATATTTATAGTGTATTAGATTAATCATATTAGCCTTCAAAGCATGTATTTATTAGAAATTACACATTAAAATACAATCAAACTTATACAAATTAAAAGTTACCCTTAATGAGATTAAAGTTACTATCAAAATTGTTAAAGTTACCCTTAAATTGACCGTTTTACAATAAAATTAACGTAAGTGACGTGCCTTACACAAGACTTATTGATAAATAATATATAATAAAAACATGATAATCATATTTCCTCTATTTACTGAAGTATTGTGATGAAGTTAATGTATAATAATAGGAACTTGATAAGTTATTTAAAAAGTTAAAAGCAAATTATTATAGAGTCTTATAGATTATTTGTAGCTGTCATTTATATTTATTATTAATAATTATATATATTGTGTATTGAAAATATACAAAAAATATTTATTATTTGACTAAAAATATACTTAATTTAATTTAAGTTATAAGTATAATATTTTAAAGGATAAGCATGAGAGAAATTTTTTTAAAAAAAATTCAAGAGAGGGCTAATGAAGCTAGGACAATTCTTTTTTTCAAAAAGTTGTTAGGTTTCAACAAATTAAGGTCAGAAACATTCGAACTAAGGTGAAGGAGGAAACAAAAGAGATAGATGCATACACAATGATTGAAGCAGAGAAGATTCATTCGAACTAATCAGAAAAAATTAAAGTCAGAAACATATAATAATTTAGGTGAAGCTGCACATAGAGGGAACACTAATTTTTTTCCATGGGGAAAACCTGATATATTATTATATTGGTTCACGTGATTTTTTAAAGTATGTTTCATAGTTTTATTAGATAACATTAAAATTAATAGTGCGCGGACATTTAATACTATATATATAGTTTTAATATCTAGATATTTTTATTACTATTTTCATTTAGTTTTATCTAATAAAACTAGATATCTAATAAAAATAGTAATACGTGTCACACTTAACCTATTAAACTAGATATTTTTATTACTATTTGTTTAAATTTTATCTTTTTTTTGAAACTAAATGTCTAATAAAAACAGTAATACGTGTCACACATAACCTATTAAACTTTTATAAATAGTGTGTGGATATTTATGCCCTTAAAAAATATTAATTTACTTATTTGATTTCGTTAATGTTATTTGCCTCTTTTTTAAAATTCTTAAGAATAGAATCTGGATATTCATATTTTTTTTTTATTTGCATATGTTCCCCTATTAATGTCATCAACAACTAAATTTGTGATGTAATATTAAATTTTAATAACCTTCTCAGACATAACTAATTATGACACGCATATTGTGTGCGTTTTGTTGTCCTAGTACTTCTAACATTACTAGGGAGTAGTGTATTCGCATGTATGCTAGGTTTGACCGGGGAATATTACCCTTGACAAAATGACAACGGTTTCACTTTGGTTCAAACAACAAACTCTAGTATTCTTCTGATTTTCGTATAGTCATATTTCGCCTCGCTGATCTGCTAATTCAATCTTCAACCTTTGTTCAATCAAATCCGAAATGGAGGGAGAAAAAGATGAGAGAGAAAGATTTAAGCAAGTATATCAACAACTGAAGACGGAATTGCTAAAAGATCCTGCTTTTGAGTATGACCATGTCTCCCGTCAATGGCTTCATCAGGTCATTCTTTTCTTCTAATCCTATTTATCAATTTTTAATCTTTGTCTTCTTCGTAATTAATTAACGCTTTCTCATTCTTCAAACAGATGCTGGATTATAACGTTCCTGGAGGTACAATTTTCCATTTTTCAGTGGGATTCTGTGTTTTTGTTATCAGTCGTATATTAATTTATAGTCTCTAATTTTATTTATTTTTTGTAATGAATTTTTGGGTCAGGAAAATTGAATCGGGGGTTGTCTCTAATTAAAAGCTATGAATTATTAAATGACGGGAAACAAATCCCAGAAGATGGCCTTTTCCGTGCTTCTGTTCTTGGCTGGTGCATTCAATGGGTATGCCATTTTTTTTTTATTCACTCAATCAACGGGTCCGTTTGGTATTACTATAGTTTTCTGTTTTCGGAAGTCATACGATATAATATACGGAGTACTTTGTAAAAAATTAAAAATTAGTCAAACCTAACGAAATTAACATTTGACAATTGTTCAGAAAACTAAAAAAAAAATAAAACGACAACGAACAAGACACTCCCATTTCTGGTTTTATGATTTCAGAGAACCTCTGCTACAAATGATCATTACTGGAAACGTAAAAACGACAACGAGTGGTCAAGTATCTAAAAATCATTTTCCTGCTTTGTTTTATTAAAACACTTAACATCCTTCACTATTATATAATATCATATTAGCAAGCTAAAATAAAAAAATTAAACTTATAGCCTATCAATAATTTACAATTACCAATACTAAACAAGTCATTTTGATAAATCATACTTCTTATATCAAAGTGAGAATCATAGTCAGGAGATCATCCTCTTGTTATGATTTTATGTATAGTATTCAACTATAATTAGTCAAATAAAGTATACATACTTTTTGTAAGAACCAGTAAACATAGTTATACAGCTAATACAATTTTACAAGGATCAAAAGACAAACCAAGTTAAAAATAATTAATATTACCTTAATCCATTTATAACAAACAGCTTGTGGGCATGTAACAAACTTTTCTTCATCATTCCACCCAAAACCACTTGCACTTGGGCTAAGCATCTCCGTGATAGCATCAAATTGTTTCTTTAGATGCTTCACTCTTGATTCAATATGAGGCTTGGCTTTTTTCCACATCCAGGCAATTTTTGTAGCATTATAGCTTCTAACTTAGCATAAGCGCCACTCTTAAAATTGACCATTATCCGCTTTCCAACCACCAATATCCCAAAGTTGGCCTCAATAAGTGCACGATCCTATTGACCATCTTGACAGTAATCTAGTAGTATTGCTACTACTACCACCTTGCGTAGAATTTCCTTTTTGAGTAGAAGGTTGACTAATCTGTAAAATGCAACAAATAGAGTACATAATACTACTGTCTATGGAAATATTGTATACTTCAATTTAATAACATCACAAGTGTGTCCAAAACAAAGCATTACATAAGTCAAAACATTGTCATTACATAAGCCAAAACATTGTCATTACATAAGCCAAAACAAACCATTCAATACTTAATATCATGCATTACAAGTAAAAATGCTCAGGAGAAAAGAATTTTTTAACTAGAATTAGTCAAGTGTTTCTGCTTTGAATCCATGCATTATACATGTCATTTGCTAGTTCCTGTCTAAAAGCATTCCACATTCCACTTGTTTCCATAATTTCAATATTATCACCATCATCTTCTATGTTATCTTCAAGTAGAGACTCCATAGGATCAATAGACATATAAGTGCGAATGAAGTTATGCACAAGAGCACAAGCCAAGATAATTCGACTGACGGTCTTTCGAGGATACCAAGTTTTTTGTCTTAGGATACCCCATCTCATGTTTAGTAATCCAAAGCATCTCTCTATGACGTTCCTTGCCTGAGAATGCTTCATGTTGAAATATTCACCTGCTGACACAGGAAGAGCACCACTTTTCCAAATGCTCAAGTGGTACCTTTGGCCTCTAAATGGTGTTAAAAAACCCTCACAATTCATGCACTCAGCATCACATAAATAATAATTAACCTAATACCAAACAATAAAAGCTATAATCATTTCTATTTCATAGAGTTGTTATATGATGTATAGAAAAAATAACTAACTCTATAACCTTGAGGACTTTTAATGGACTTTGTCTAGACAAGGCATCATGTAGTACTCTATTATCATGTGCCGAACCCTCCCAACTAGGTAATAAATATATAAATTGCATATCCCGCGTACAAGCAGCGAAGACATTGGTAGTAAGATCTCCTTTTCTGTTTCTGAACCTAACTTTGTCCTTATCACCTACACGAACCTTAAAGTGTGTGCCATCCAAAGCACCTAAGCAATTCTACAAAGAAAAAAAAATCCCATTTATCACTAAACCAAATCTTCAAACATATATTAATATTTAATTTGCATAGCAAAGATCACTTACTTTAAACCACTTCCACCTATCATCTTGACAATTTTTAGTCACTGCTGTAGGTTTTTTTTGAACAAGATATGATGACATCTAAGGAGAGCTTGTAATACTAAATTGAAATGCCTTGAAACAGTCTCACCACTTATTCTAAAGTGTTACCGAATTCTTCGATTTTTGTATCATGAGAAAGTGTAAAGAGAAATAAAGCCACCATTTCATCCAAACTAGTGTTCCTATTTCCTTGCAACTTGCCAACATCCCTAAGCATCTCACATAACTTATAAAAACAAGCCCTATCCATTCTAAGGTTATCCAAACATGCTATGTCACTCCCTTGGATCATAGGTCTAACATTTAAAATTCTAGCGGTTATCCGGTTTTCAAGTGTATCATCAAACACAAAAGATATTGGCTTAGGAACTTTAATATTTGTAATGGAAAGAAGATACATGAGTTGAAGTAATGTAGCCATAATCATGACCATAATCTGCCTATATATCACAATACAAGTCATTGCAATCTTCTTTTGTTTACTTAAAGGGATGCGAGCCATCACTGTATTGCAAAAAAAAAAAAAAATTACAAACTCAAAGATTATGATCAAAGATGCAAATATCTAGTAAATCAATAGATACTACACTAGCTATATAAAACAATATGAATTTAACAGAGGCTACTATCATTCCATAGGCCACACAATTAAAAATAAACAAGCACTTACAAATTATATAATTAAGCACCATTTGTTTCTACTAAGAAATAGATACAAACATGACCATGATTCTAATTAAATGCATCACCATAAACCTTGCATATAAGGTGTTTAATAACATTAGAAAGAAAAGCTGACTAGTCTAGCAAGCTCCATAATACCTCAACAATAATAATCAAACCAAATAGGTATGTTACATTCTCATTGTAGGTTTCAATAATCAAACAGTAATATGTTGAATTTGGGCTTCTAAAGCACATGATAAATAGTTACAAATCAAGCAATAATATCTTCAATTTGGGCTTCTAAAGAACATGATAAATAAATAAATAAATCAAAAAAAAAAAAAGTGATAAAGCCAATAAAAAGAAACGATTCTTGCTACTACACTTGTTAACAAGTAATCCCACTCAAAATTAATGAAAGTTCATTCCTTTAGTGGTAAAATTGGTGTATCATGATTCACCGGAGGATTGCAAAAAGCCACACAAACTAAACATCGTATTTTTCTTCCAAAGTATTGAACAAAAATCTTGTTCCAAATATATATAGGATGTTTATCTAACAAAATTATGGGTTTAATTTCAGATTAAAACCACAAAAAACCCAAAAAAGAATCAAAAAATAAAATTACGAAATAATCTCAAACATATATGAAGTACGGCATAGGAAGAAGAGGAGAAAGTAAACTAAACCTTGCTTTGTAGACCATAGAATAGAGAGAGTAGAAATGATGGAGATGAGATTACAGAAAAATGAAGGCAAGGTTTTTATTTTTTTTATTTTTGAAGAAAGGAGGCAAGGTTGACAGAGGGTAGTACATAAGGAGAGGGAAATCAGCACGCCAAACAAAATTTTTTGAGGGTATTATTGTCATTTTCTTGAAAAAATAATACAGGAAATTTGACTCAACCGGGGGGGGGGGGAGGGGGGTGAGAAATTCCCAGTGTTTTGATTGGAAATTTGAGTTCCCATGCTTTATCTATTTTTGGTCAACCAAACACAACTACAAATACCCATTTCCTAGGAAATTGTATTTCCAAGGGTAAATGGGTTCAACCAAACAACACCTTATTTTCTTCGTTAATTTTAACTTTTACATTTCTATTATTTGCTTATTTGACTTTTGAGTGTGTTAAGAGCATGTTTGGTAAGAGTATTTATTGGGTTGGAAACGGATTCAACTAAACCATTACCGTTATCTAGTGTTTGTTTAGAAGGTATAGATAACAATTGGCTAGGGGTAATGGTTTCCACCCAATTGTTACCTCTCTTAAACCTAAGGTAACAATTACCCTTACCCTCAAACAAAAAGAGAGGAAGTTATGTTTAAGTAATTCATTTCCATGGTTAAACCAAACATATGAAAAGTTTAGGGTTAAATGATTCTTTTCCCCTCTCTTATTTGTTTCCTTTTCCACTCCATTTCCAATATTCGTACCAACGCCCCCTAAATGTGAATGACATAGTCCTTTCATGTTTGAATAATTGCAGCTGGTGGGCTGTGTTCTTGTTCTTGATGATATTTTGGATAATTCCCACACTAGGCGTGGCCGTCCTTGTTGGTTTAGATTACCTAAGGTTTGTGCTGGAATTCATTAGCATTTCTTTTTTTATTTCCTTTTGTTAAGGCAAGTGTTCATGTTTAAAGTTTGTTTGCAGGTTGGCATGATCGCTGTGAACGACGGCATTCTTCTTTGGAATCATATTAACAGGATTCTTAGGATATACTTTAGGGACCAACCTTACTATGCAGATCTCCTTGATTTATTCAATGAGGTCAATGGCTATTATTGTCTTCATTTTAAGCTTCAGCGTGCAATGACATGAATAAATGATTAGCGTATACGAAGTATGACTAATCCTTTTCCTTCCTTTTAATGCATCTACTTTCATAGGTAGAGTTCCAGACAACTTGTGGAGAAATGATTGATCTGATAAGTACACTCGATGAGGAGAAAGATTTGTCGAAATTTACTCCAGCATTGTGAGTAAAAATCACTTCAATTTCAATCTTGATAATCTCAAAGTATTTACAGGTGCATGATGTAATTGTCATTAATCAAAGTTGTCCATTGATATCTTTCTCAACTGCCAGTGAAGATTGTTCTGAATCTTGTGAAGTAACCTTTGTGAGCCAAGGAGAGACACTTTACAATCAAAAGAGATGCTAGTAAAGATCCAACCAAGCAGCACCCCGTTTTATATTTAATTTCTGTATATCATTGATAGATTAATCTTACAGTGAAAATTCGTGTATGAGTCATGATAATCATGATTTTGTTATAAATATTCGTGTATGAGTCATGATAATCATGATTTTCCTGGTTGAACCTAATTTAATACTCTCTGTTGTTATAAATTTTTTCCAGCTTCATGTTCATGTTATTTTGTTTTTGCCATCATATAACTTTGGTTTAGCTTTCCTTGACATGGTAATTGATAATATCTGCTGCTTGCAGTCAGCGACGTGTCAGCAAGTACAAGACTGCATATGGGACATTTTTTCTCCCAGTAAGTATATATATCTGGCTTCACTTAAAAAATTGTGGATTTATTCCTTGGCATTTAGGCTATGCTCTCCTCACCTTATTTCACTTATTTAAGTAAAATAAGTTGTGGAATAATAAAAGCTACTCTTGTTCAATTTTCAACTAATATAAGCTCTAATAAGTACAAAAGTTTCGGAAAAGTTAACTTCAATTAATCAAGTTCAAGAAATATAAGCTCAAATAAGTGAAACATCAAGTGAAATAAATTTTGTTGACTGGTTGTTGCTAGCAATTGTGCTCTGCAAGCAAATTCTGCAGTGATATTATGTGTTTAATTCATGTGCAATTGTATCATGTGAATATATTGCTCTTCATTCCCATTAATTCCCTAATTAGGCTTCTGATTGCATGTTGCAACTATTAAGCAGCATGAATTTTTGTTTCGCATGCCTGATGAGCTGCTTGGAAGCAGTTGAATACTGCGGTGCTGCCTATTGCAAACCTTGATTAGCTCTGGAATCTTAACTTTATTTTGGGATTTATTATTATCATTCTTGGAAATTTATGTGTACTTGCGCAGCTGTGTCTTGAGTATTTTCTTCAGCAGTTGCAGGACCAGAACCAGCTGTTGTTTTTATTTTTGTAACAATGTTGCTTTAGCGTCCTAGATGACCAATAATTAATGTTTTAAATCTCTTGCACTGCACTTATTCTTACCAACTCTCTTCTAGATGATGGAAGAATACATGGATTTTGATAATAATCACTCATCTCTTTGTTCTTTTTCCATGCTACTAACTTTGGATTTCATATTGGGGACCCACCCTTCTCAATATAATCTTAGTCATATGAAATTTATACATACTGTTGCTCATTATATAACCATGCTACTAATCTTGGTTTTCAGCTGTTGATATATATGGATTTAGTAACCTTAGCTTTATGCATGAATTATAATCTGTATTTCCCACAATGGTATCAACTTGGGAATCTAGACAAAATCATGCAATGCTTGGCGCTATTAAAACTTTAGTCTATCTATTCTTAGCTTCTCATCCATAGTACTTCTGGATGCATTTGCACTTTCCTGCTTGTATTATACACACATTGATACTTGACAAAAATTTACATTGTGATGTCTGTGTAGTTTGCATGTGCTTTGCTCATGTTAGGTGAGAAGCTGGATGATTACAATGACGTGAAAGACATCCTTCTTGAGATGGGCATCTACTTCCAAGTACAGGTATCCATATGTGCGAAGCTAGAAGTTAATAAAGATCTTTATTTAGGAATTTGCTTTTCATCTTGTTTGCTTTTCATCTTGATCCTTCTTTTTGTTGCTTGGGCTGTATTAACCATTGTCATTAAATAACTCTCCTTCAGGACCTTACCATAGCTCCCCATTGACAATTTGCTGAAAGTTTAAAAAGAAAGGATTCTGGCTTTGTATTTGAAGCGGGGCTGTCTTTTTTTCTTTTAATCTGAAGTAGAGCCTAATCAATGCCTACTTCTCCTTCTTTTGCTTCCGTTTTTCTCCTTGTTTATTTATTTGGACTTGTAGGCATGATTAACTTGATCGTAGGAGTTGATTAATCGCCTGTTCTGACATGATTGTAGCCATGGCACTAACCTGGTGCTACTACTCTTATGCTCTATAAAAGACTTGAGGCATATTTACATGATCCATTGGTTTTGAATAGCAAGAGTTGTTTGTATGGTGCATTCTTTGCTTGGTACTGACATTGAGCTTCTTCATTAAATGAGTAACTTGGAACATTTGATAGGGACTTGAGGTGGTTGCTAGTTATTATATTAGTTGGGAATAAGGGATGCTTGTTTGGCTGTTTACAAAGGGAATGATTTTATTCTTATTTTTTTCTGTGATTTGGCAGGATGATTATTTAGACTGCTTTGGTGATCCTGAAATGATTGGCAAGGTGAGTTCGTGAAGTGATATTTATTCCGTGGCTGATATTATCCAGGGAACTTGTATGATTTGATTCTTATTGCATCAGATTGGATCAGACATTGAAGAATTCAAGTGTTCTTGGTTGGTTGTGAAAGCTTTAGAAGTTAGCAATGAGGAACAGAAGAAATTGTTATATGTAATTACATTGTTTCTTCTTAAAAGTTCTTACAAGTGTTTATGCTGATAGTGCTAAAAATAATGCAAACACATCTTGGCTTGATAACGATCAAGGGTCTTGTTTTACAGGAGAAATATGGGAAAGCAGACCCGGTAAATGTTGATGCAGTGAAGTCCCTCTATAAAGATCTCAATCTTCAGGTATATTGAATGATAATATAGGATAGCATGCACGGTCATTGCTTAATCTTTTTCCTATCATCTAACTATTCGTGGTATGATTGTATTATGGTAGGGCATCTTTGCTGAATACGAGATTGATATATATGAGAAGCTAACAGCCAGCATTGAAGCTCTACCGAGCAAAAGCGTGCCAGCAGTGCTGAAGTCTTACTTGGGTAAAATATTCAAGAGGCAGAAATAGACAGATGCTGAATTTTGAATATACAGTCATCTTGGCTCTTTTAACTCTCCAGTCCTGCTTTCCGTTGCAGTTCTGTTAGTGACGGGGAGGAGATGGTAGTCTTGATTGACCGGTCATGCCCTGGCATACCCATGCAAAGCTGCATGATGTGATCAATCACACTGCAAAACTGGAATTAATCTTCTTAAGGGGTACATGTTTTGGCTATTGTGATAATTGACTTGATCAACTAAGAAAACAAATAAAAACGAACAAACATTGAGTAGATTAAGGAAGGGTGATTAGTCTGATTACATTTTATGATTAAATGGTTCAGTCATGTGAGCCACTTCCATAGGCAAGGAAATTTAGTCTTTCCCTTGGCATTTTCTATGAAGAGGGTGATAAAGAAGAGCTTAAACTGTATCCAATAGAACTCTCCTTCTGATCTGAATTTTTTTGAATTCACTCAATGCACTTCCACCAAATTTCTTTTTTTTTTTTTTTTTTTTTTTTTCTTCTTAAAAAAATTAAAAGGAAGGGAAACATCCAAGAGTTTTGTGAAAAAACCCAACACCATAATCAGATTCATTTTTGGCTTCTTATAAGAATTGTGAAAAAACCTTATATTTCATGTTTTAAATTAGTTGACATGTTTTGATTATTGACACTACTCACAAAGTCTACTTTGACTAGCTTTGTAATTTGTTGATTAGAAAAAACATGAATATGTGCAATCTTTTTCTTTATGTGTATTTTCAATATATTGTTTTATTTCTTTTTTTTTCTTTTATTCTTTTTAATTTTTTAAAACTTTCGCCAAATGATAATGAGGGACATTTATATTGAATGTTTAAATCTGTACATTGGCAAATGTGATTAAGTAAAAGTGTCAACTAATTTGGAATGGATGAAGTATAAAACTGTCTCCCAAATTTTGGCATTTTAATAAAGCAATAAGAAGCCAAAACATTTTTGGTATTCTTTCTTGACAAAGTGCTACTGTGTGGGCGTGCTTGGTTATCCTCTTATATAAAATTTTTTAATATATGTTTAACGGGTGGATGGATGGTTAGCGGGTGAAGTAGTATCATCCACATTTGATCCATCACCTTTTTCGCTCACTTTTCATCCATTTAATTCGGGTTTTTGACCATTAATTTAAAACGGGTGGATCGGGTTAGCGAATATTCATTTAATATTGCCATCCTTATTCACAATTTAGCCCCCAAGCACGAGTGCACAACCAAATGCTTGTGATAATGATACAATTTTTTTAAGAAATAAAATAATACACCCTCTATTTCATTTTATTTATTATATGTTTTGAAATTTATGATCTCCAATTTTTACCATGAATTTATTCAAGGAAAAATTAGAAATAATAATCTCAACTTTCACGTGTTTTGTTTCAATAATCCCGACTTTGGATTATTCTGGAATAATCCGAACTTTGGGGGCTGTTGATTTTCTTCAATCCCAAATATCGGTTACCGGTTGAATGGGTTATTTTTATTTTATTTTTTTGTTAAAGTGACACGTGTCGCAAATTAAAATTGGCTAAAAAATATAAAATAAAAAAACAAAAAAACCAAAGTTTAAATTATATACATATCAATAATAACATAGTACTAAAACAGACACTAGAAATGACACGTTTCACTTTTTGGTGCTATTATTTCCCTCCAAAACTCCCCTCCCCTTTTAGCAAAAAATCTTTTATTTTTGAAAAATTTGTATAATACAACTATATAATAATATTCCAAATCTTATATATTATCTTTATATAAAAATGTTTTTCTTTTTTATTTTGTGTTCTTAATTCTTCCATACACATTCACCTAAAATATTATTCTAACTCTTTAATTATAGGAAAAGTGAGCCACTGATTCAGGTACAAGATACTATCATTACCGCCTGGACATCTTTTAATTGGAATATTATTGAAATATTGCCCTAAAAATAATAATAAAATTGGTTCATATAATTGATATTAAAGAAATTACTTTAAAACATCACTTAAATTTTTTTTTATTTTTTTTCAAATACCTCTAGTATTTTGTTTCTTAGACTAATGGAGTATTTACATGACTATATAATAACTGTTGTATTCGACAACTATATCATACGTCGAATTCTAAGAAAATGTGAAATTTCAATCAATTTTTTTGTTATTACTTAATTAAATAGATTTATATCTTAGTAAATACAAAAAAAATTTATTGTCTTTTGCTAAACCATGTGATTGAGATGATAAATTAATTACATTCGACATTATAAATAAGATGCACAGTAAAAGACACATCAGACGTGACAAGTGACATCTTCTTGTGTATTTTTTTTTCGATAAATAACTATCATCAACAAATAAAATTTTAAGGCAATAAACAAACAATTATTATACTACAATTATTGGATAGTTTCAAACACATTTTTATATAATAACAAAGAGCGATGATATCATGTAGAGCATCCCATAAACAGAAAATGTACTATTAATAGGTTAGTGTTGCCTAATTGTTGATTATAATTGCCTTTAATGATCCGAGTAGTATATGTTTCCTTTGAAATTATTTTATTGGATATAAAGGTGATATTATTTATAATTTATATATTTACATGTATGTTGTGCTAATACTTCAATAGTTTTACTGTAGATTTTATTCTGTTGTTTGATTAATATTTTCATGTTTATTAAAAAGACATTTATAAATAAGTTTTTAGCCATATAGTCACTAGATTGTATAGTTTTATTGGAAATAATATGCATAATTAATGTAATATAATGTATACTACATTTAAATATTTTCAACACAACTAATCAACAATAATTTTTTTTTTCTAAATTGTAGTTTTGATAATTTTTGCGTTATTATTTTATTTTTCTATATGCATTGTATTTTTTTATTCCACATGAGTTGCCTTATCTTTATATTATAGCACAATTTATTATGGGAAAATGATTATTACTCTTGTGCATTGCACGGGCACTAATCTAGTTGGTAAATAAAAAAGACCCCTAGTGACAATTTGTTAAATAAAATAGCTTCGGCGACAATTTGGTAAAAAAAGCTAACCCCAAGCGACAAGTTGGTAAAAAAAAAAAAAATCATCTAAGGCGACAATCAACCCAATATATACAAAAAATTCCGATAAACTACTCGCAAATGCTTAATTTAGTTCGTTTTTCGTGGTTTTCTTACCTAGATCTCCAACCCCTTTTTCGGAATTAACAATTCGAAGAAAAATAAGTGTTTAAATATTAATTTTTACGTAATTTTCCTACTCCTTGTTATTGAATTTTTATTTAAAATGGGGTTGGAAAATAAATTTGATATCATGATATAGCAAAATAAAAGGAGATGGTACATTAATTTAATTTTTAAAATGGGAAAAATCATTTTAAAAAATATAATAATAAATTGAATTAGGAAATTTGAACATTGTCATAAAATTTACATATTTTGGTCTAAATGTCATGTAATTTTTTAACCAAATTATCACTAAGGGTTTTTTTATTTACCAATTTAGTCAATTTGCCATAAATGGTGATGTAAAAAAAAAAAAGGAGGGGGGGGGGGGAGGGGGTGGTTTTGGTTTGTTAAAGGAAAAGGAAAAAAAAAAAAAAAGAAAAGAATGATTGAATGAAGTCAAGAAAAGGGTTGTCATTGTCCTGTCTGCGCGGGGTTAAAGGTTGAACAAAAACGAAAATGAAGACGAGGCTTGTTTTTATATTCAATACCCCCCATGAAAAGTCTGCGCCCTTTCCTTTTTCTCTCATGTCCTTCTTCTTCTTTCTACTTCTACGTAACTTCCCTTTCTCTCTCTGACTTCTTCGTCCATTCCCATTTTCAATTTCAATCTTCAATTTAGGGTTCATTTTCATCTTTTTGCCTTTCAATTGATCTCCATTTTCATCCTTCTTCTTGTTATTGTTGTTGTTATTTTGATATGTAAATTGTATATCAATCATCTCCATTCTTTTTACCTTCAAAATTGGATCCTTTTTTTTATCATCTCCAACTGTTTCTCGTTTATTCAGTTTCTGGCAAAAATCATAATCAACCTGTGCATATTTTAATAATTATTTCTTGTGTTTTCTTTTTGTACCCATGAATATAATATATACTTCTTCCTTCTCATTCTATACATTCTAATTTATTTTTTTTTTTTTTTGGAAAAGAACTCTTTTGGATAAAGCTGCTGATAAATTAATCAAAAAAAAAAAAAAAAAAAAAAAGGAAAATGAAGTTGGTAGTGAAAGTGATAGAAGCAAGAAATATACCAGCAATGGATCTGAATGGGTACAGTGATCCATATGTTAGAATAAATTTGGGAAAGCAAAGGTTCAGAACTAAGGTTGTAAAGAAATGCTTGAATCCTTACTGGGGTGACGAATTCAGCTTTCGTGTTGATGACTTGAGTGATGAGTTGGTCATTTCTGTTTTAGATGAAGATAAATACTTTAATGATGATTTTGTTGGTTTTGTTAAATTCCCTGTTTCTAAGGTTTTTGATTCTCCTGATAAATCTCTTCCTACTGCTTGGTATCCTTTACTCCCCAAGAGTAAGAAGTCTAAACCCAAGGACTGTGGTACTCTCTCTATCTTTCCCTTGCTTTCGTTTTTGCTTTCGTTTCTGTCTTTGATAGCTGTTATTGCTGCTAATGTACCTGGGTTAAGATTGTTTGTTAGATTATATTCCTGCCTTTTTAGGAGTACAACTGTAAGGAGTTATGAATGAATGAACTTGATTGTTCTGTGTATGTTCGCGAATTATATGCCTTTAAGGAATGAATGATATAAGTCTAACAACTTTATACTATAAACGGATTTATAATTTAGATAACTTGCATTTGCTATCCTTAAATGATTGCGGATATGCTCATCAGTTACTTGGGGTATTATTTTTGTGTTTAGGTGAAATCTGTCTGCACATATGTCTTTCTCAAAACTCTTCTTATATGGACATATCCAACATCGCTGCTGCCCCTTCCCAAAGAAATGACAATGTCGACTCTGAATCTTTCAGTATGGCCTCACGTTCATCTTCTCCTTCAAGATTGGAAGCTACTTCTTCTGCTAACAAAAATGATGAATGCCTGACTAATAAGTTTGAGCCATCTGAAATTTCCAAGCCCCAAGCCAGTGAGGGCAGGTCTGATGACCTCGTTTCTCCGGCCTCTTTTGATGATCTAATGAAAACCATGGAAGGGAAGGACCAGGGAATTGAACTTCCTACCAACTTACCAGGAGGGGTACTTTTAGATCAGCTCTATTTAGCCACCTCTTCTGACCTCAACGCTCTACTTTTTTCACCAGATTCAAAGTTTCCTGTTGCTCTTGCAGAATTCCAAGGGAAGACAGAAATAAATTTTGGGCCATGGGAATTTGAAAATGAAAATTTGGTAAGACTCAACACCTACCTCACGGCACCATCAAAAATTTCTAAGTCTCTTAAGGCTTTTGAGACTCAAGCTTATAAACTAGCCAATGGCAAGTCTTTTGCAATTTTGGTCAGCGTTAGCACTCCTGATGTAATATACGGGAGTACCTTTAGAGTAGAGATGCTCTATTGCATCACACCTGGGCCTGAGTTGCCATCTGGAGAACAATCCTCACGGTTACTTGCATCATGGGGAATGAATTTTGTTCAGAGCACTATGATGAAGGGAATGATTGAAAATGGAGCCCGGCCAGCAGTGAAGGAGAGTTTCGATCAATTTTCAACTCTTTTGTCTCAACATGTCAACCCTGTTGATCTCAAGGGTACTGGCTCCCAAAAGGATCAGGTTCTGGCGTCATTGCAAGCAGAACCACAATCAGATTGGAAGTTGGCAGTTCAATACTTTGCTAATTTTACCGTGGTGTCTACCATTATCATTGGAACTTATGTTCTTTTTCACATTTGCCTGACAGCACCAAGCACCATTCAGGGTCTTGAATTTGTTGGGCTGGACTTGCCTGATTCTATTGGTGAAGTTATTGTATGCGGTGTCCTGGTCCTTCAAGTTAAGCGAATGTTCGAGCTGGTAGCACGCTTCATACAGGCCAGATCGCAAAAGGGTAATGCTGTTGAGCATATGTTTTTAAATTGCGAATTATCTGACAATTACATTAACATAATGTCTTGAGTGTGAAGTTCTAAACATACTTATTTTCACATTGCCTCGGTTAAGCTTTTTTTGTTCTCATCTAATCTTTAAAGCAAACGTACGTTACTGAGCCAGATTATTAACCTTTGATCTTCATGTATTACCATGAACATAGGGAGACCTAAGAAGTTGATAGCAATGGTTGCTTTTGTAGGTTTTTTTTTTTAAGGTTGACTCAAGTTTGTTCCATTTTAATATACGCATCTTTAAATACAGGCCTTTTGATTTTTTGATTTTCTTCTATTTACCATCTACAATTTTCTTTCATGTTGTAGGTAGCGACCACGGAATTAAAGCACAAGGAGATGGATGGCTGCTTACTGTTGCACTAATCGAGGGGAGCAACCTAGCAGCTGTTGATTCAAGTGGTTTCTCTGACCCCTATGTAGTTTTTACTTGCAATGGGAGAACTAGAACAAGCTCAATCAAGTTCCAGAAGCTAGATCCTCAATGGAATGGTTAAGTTGTTTCCTTATCAGTTTCTTATGCCTGCGTGTGAATATCTGGCATGGATCTGATTGGATAGGTTTCCTTGATGTCTTGTGCTAAAATGCAGAAATATTTGAATTTGACGCAATGGATGAGCCACCATCAGTTTTAGAAGTAGAGGTTTTTGATTTTGATGGGCCTTTCGATGAAGCAACTTCTTTAGGACATGCTGAAATAAACTTTCTTAAGGCAAATGTATCAGAGCTAGCAGACATATGGGTTCCTCTTCAAGGAAAGCTAGCACAGGCATGGCAGTCTAAACTGCGATTAAGAATATTTGTGGATGACACAAGAGGTGGTAATGCTATCAGAGAATACCTTGAAAAAATGGAAAAGGAGGTTGGGAAGAAGGTAATAATTCGTATTAGATTTATGGTATTGAACTTATTGTAGTTTCACTATCATTGCTAAAATTTATGCTTTTCAACTACTTTTTGCTTAAATTTGCAGATAAGTCGGCGATCACCTCAGACAAATTCAGCATTCCAGAAGCTGTTCTGCCTTCCACCAGAGGAATTTCTTATCAATGACTTCACTTGCCATCTGAAGCGCAAGATGCCACTGCAGGTGACATTTCTTAAATAAAAGATGCAGTAACTTTGAGAGTGCACAACTCTTGGGTTGAACATTTTAGTTATTACCTGTTGTGCTTTTTTCTCCTCTCACCCCCCTTTTCTATGTGATCTATTTAAGTTATTTCAATTGAAAAAAAAATAATATGCAGTATGGAAAAGTTGTCAGCCAAGCTCTTGTCTGTCTTCATTCAACCCACTGATCTAACTACCTCCTCATTAACTTGCACTTGCTCTTTCAGGGACGCCTTTTTCTATCACCGCGAGTAATAGGATTCCATGCTAGCTTATTTGGACATAAAACGAATTTCTTCTTTCTTTGGGAGGACGTAGAGGACATACAAGTTGCTTCTCCTAATCTCTCTTCAATGGGGAGTCCAATCGTTGTCATAACTCTTCGTAAGGGAAGAGGCTTAGATGCAAAGCATGGAGCAAAGACACAGGATGCGGAAGGGAGGCTTAAATATTATTTCCATTCATTTGTGTCTTTCACCATGGCACACAGGTAAATGTTGCCCTGTTTTTTCTGTTGCTGAAAGCTGTTCATGGTTATTTTACTATTGGAGAAGAAGCTAATAATAATCACAGTTTCCCTCGTCATATTTTAATCTGTATAAAATTAGTGAAGCATTTTCTGTTTAGCTCTTTGTTTAGTTTCTCTATCCCAATTGAGCTGTCAAATTATGGAAATATAATAAAAGAAACATCAGTGTGAGTCAGAAGTCTTCATGTATAGTTTTGAAAACTAGTGTTATCTCCGGTGGGACAAGCATCATGATATGTTTGACAACTGTAGTGGGATGTACTACCTCCATTTTTTTTGTTGACACGTTTTGGCTTTTGGCTTTATTCACAAACTATTTTGACTAGCTTTTGTGATTTATAATTACAATGAAACATTGTCAAGTGGGATCTTGTTTTTTTTTTTTTTTTTTTTTTTTTTTTGACGGGCATGTGGAATCTTGTTAGAATTGCCTCATTTCAGTCATTTTCATACTATCAATTTTTTATAAATTTTTTTTTTTTTTAAAGTAGAGATATAAGTTCTTTAACTTGTGCATTGGCAAGTTTGATAAAAGAAATGTGTCAACTAAAAAAATGACGGTGGAAGTATGAAGTATCTTTTTAATTACCTTTTCTCCGCAAGGAGCTCTTACTTTCTGTGCCTGTCTTAGCTGTCTGCTAAGCTTGGATCATGTAATTTTGATGAGTAGCTATAAAGTTGGTTGGAAAATTATTACTTGAACCTTAGCATACAATTTGTTGGCAATATAATTTGCAGAACAATTATGGCCCTTTGGAAGGCAAGATCATTGAGTCCTGAGCAGAAGGTGAAGATTGTTGAGGAAGACACTGAAACTACCAGTCTCCAGACAGAAGAGAGTGGAACCTTTGTAGGTGATGAGGATATTAGCATGACTGAGGTTTATTCTTCTGCTCTCTCTGTTCCGGTGAGCTCTCTGTCTCTTTGTCTCTCTCTGATCAGATGATTATGCACAGCTAGTCACCCATTATTGAGCGTTTATAAATGCATTTTATTTATAATATGCATTTCATACTGTGTAGACAGAGTTTCACCCATTATTGTTGGCAATACCTTTTTGCTCGTCTTTTATATAAATTTTTGTAAGTAGTATGAAATACTTAATTCTCCATTGTATTGACTTACAATTACTGTGTAGATGAACTTCTTGATGGAGTTATTTAGTGGTGGTGATGTTGACAAAAGAGTCATGGAGAGAACTGGATGCCTTAATTATTCTTGTTCTCCTTGGGAACTAGATAAGGATGTTTATGAACGGCAAGTGTGCTACAACTTTGACAAGCGTATATCTAGCTACAAAGGAGAAGTGACCAGCATGCAACAAAAATCTCCTCTTCCTGATAAAAATGGCTGGCTTGTTGAAGACATTTTGACACTTCATGGGATTCCGCTTGGTGACTGTTTTAATGTATGTGATTTAGTTTGATAGCCATTATTTTGTATTGGCTGAGTGCTGTCTCAGAGCACATCCTATATTTTCTTTTGAATGTGGGTTAATTCTACTTTATATGTATACTTGTATTTGTTTGTTTGCAGCTCCACCTCAGATACCAGATTGAGGATAGAGCAAAGGGCTGTTATGTGAAAGTATCATTTGGAATTGCTTGGCTGAAAAGAAATAAACACCAGAAAAGGATCTCTAAGAACATACTTTCAAATCTGGTAGATCGCCTGAAAGTGATGTTTGCCACTGTTGAGAAAGAATATGTGAATGGAAGATAGAAGCTTTAATATTGTAGTATTGCTTTTTGTCACCCATGGAAGTCTCTTTTGAGAACAGAGTCAAAAAAACTAACAGAAGCAACCGTGTCTAGATAGAAACAAGGTTACACTGAATGAATGTTGCCTGAAATCAGACTAATCACATCAGCATACAGCCATCATGATGCAGAGATTCTTGTAAAATTGCAGGTTTGACGATTTTTTTGGTGCTCCCCATTTTATTTATTTATTTCTTTGAAAGTAAATTGTAAAGGGTAAATTAGTTCATATTTTTTTCCCACTCCCGAATTCAGAGAAAATGTCCAAAAATAAAGGTTAATTGTTCAAAATCTTGGACTTGGTGTCTTTTGATGATTTTTCAAATCAGTTCTGCCAGTACCGAACTCACCTCTGTTCCTTCAATGTCAATGCATTTGTCCTGTTAATGTAGGTTTAGAATGAACTCTGGAATTCAGTAGTGAAGGCCACATCTGGAAATTTAATGGCCTTGGTTGAATTTTTTTGTGGTGGTATTTTACCCTTTCATGCTACCATATCTCAATTTTTTGTTTGTTTTTGTTTTTTTTGGTCGTTTATTTATACTCCATCACAGCTGCCAGTTACGTTCCAGGCCTTCAATTGGAAAAAAAAAAAAAAAAAAAAGACATTTACTGTTGACTAAAATTGACCCCTACCTGCTGTTAATGTATTGCTACTGTGGATACCATGTGTGGTTGTCAGGCTGCTGATGAGATGAAATTGCATGTTTAGCAAGAATGGTATGGGTGAGGACTGAGGAGTTTTTTTTTTTTTTTTTTTTTTTTCGGGGGAGCGGGGGGGAGGGGAGGGGGGGGGGGTGCATTCTGCAGGTTTTTGATCTGTGGTAGTCTGTTTCGAGTGCTGTAAATCCTGTAATGGTCTGATTTCTGAAGTACTGTTGATTTATGGTTCTCTGTTCAGCTGTTTTGGTAGTTTGAAGGGGAAACTTGTGAACATCAGAATGCCATGGAATATGTTGATGAACTTGCTTCAGAGAAACGGGGAAAGGGAGTGATTTGGCTGTTGGGGCTGCTGTGCTGCGCTGAAGTCCTCCATGAGGGGATGTGCTGAAGCCTGAAGGTAATGGATATGGGCTGTTTTGAGGGGCTGAGAACAGCTCTCTGATCATAGTTAGGGGAAGATGCTAGATGCAAAAATATACTTTGGGTATAGTAAAGGTTACTTTTTGAAAGTAATTGGCACTGCTTGATCACTGCAATTTCATTACCAAAAAAAAAAAAAAAAAACATGATTGTAGTAGCTTCGTGTTGGATGATACTTATCAGTTATCACTGTCATTCGCTGATAATTGTTTCATGGAGTTACATGCAATGATGATAGAGTAGCTCATGAGCTTGCTCATCTCTTGCGATTGGAGGTAGGAGGGGTTGGTTAGTTTACCTTTATTTTGTTGTTAGTTTTTTTTGTGGTTTTAATGGAAATTTATCTTTTTATTCTGTGCGAAAATCGACCTAATCTGACATTAGCTTAAATGCTACATATGAAAAAACAAAAATAGGGCAGTTTTGGTTCTAAATTCAACTTAAAAAACCTATATTCCCAAAAAAAGAAGAAGAAGATATGATTACTACAAAACACACACTGGAGAGAGTTGCTTATCATTGAAATTTCTCTTAGATTGAATGAGTTGAATGGGTCAACACGATCTTATCGTATGGGTTAGTTTTAAGCATTGATATATATAAAATTAAAAATGGATAGGACTATAGGGGTATCTATATGTTGTCATGTATATAATAATTTTTTCAGTTTGTGAAATTTTTTTATGACTCATTTGCTCGAACATTAGGCTTTTCGTTTCATATGTATACCCTTTCTAATAATTCACAAACATTTAAACTTATTACCCCAAGATTGTGTTTACTCTTACTTCTAAACCTCACATTAACACAACTTATACTTTTTTTTTTTAATGGAAAGTAAAATGATTTCATTAATAAAAAGATAGTCAAACGACATTTACAAACAATTCATAAGGAATCTAAAATAATACCTTGAACTAATTACATCGCAAATTCAATCAACAATGACCTTATTAAAACAAACTTCATCTAAAACAATACAATGTATGAATTGCCACTAATTCAGCTTAAAATCCATTGATACATATTCATTTGGGTAAAAATACTTATTTGGTCCTCTAGATACTTTTGGGGAATATGAAACCGTAGATCTTCAATCCTCGTTAGACGAACAAATAAAGAAATTAAACATACTAGAATAACCACCCTCTCAAGGATGAGATCTATTTATTAAAAGTAATTAAAAAGTTTTTTGAGCTTACCACTAGTAAGAATCCAAGCAAAAGCCCCTACAAAGATTCATAACTAAGGCTAGAAAACCCTCCAAAGAAGAAATCCTAGAGGTAACCAGAAAAATCATCCTTATACTTAAGTTAGAAAAAAATCATCATTTATAATTAAGGTAATTTTAGAAAAAAAATCTTAGTAGGGAAGAAGGATGAGAAACAAAATTTTCTTTGTCACAAATGAGACAATTTGTTATTTTTTGAGTCAATTTGGGTACTATTCGTGATGTATGAGCATCATACAACATGGGGTATTTTGGTCATTTTTTGTAAAATCTTAAATTTCATTGCGTATCATTATAAACATATATAGTATCATAGACGGATCTAGGGCCGAGCCTACTTAGGCCATGGCCCGCCCCATAAACAAATTTTTTTTAATATAAAATCTTTACTGCTGTGTGTAAATACCATATACTTGTGTTGGCTAAGTTGGTTTTTACTATTTTGCCAAACGCTTTACTAAAACTAGTGGGTGTCAAGTTCGATTCTTGCTGGCAACATTTTTATTTGGTCTTCTTTTATTTAATAAAAAACTTATAGGTTACGGCCCATCCAATGAAATAATCCTAGATCAGTCTTTGATATTATAATATCATTACACTATCTAATGGGACTATTTATTCACTTTGTGGTATCTTGTTCATATTATTTACAAAATTGTCATGATATGTATTGGTTCATACCGCACATATATGTATTAATACTTGGCATTATTTTTGTCACAAGGAAAGAAGAAATTGAGGTGGATGAGTTGAAAGTAATAAGAGAGAATTGCCAAGAAAACATCTAGTCATGATTGATGTTAAAAAAACATTAAAGAAAGATGATGAGAAAAAGAATGGAGATAGTGAGAAATGAGAGAGAAAGAAAATATGATGCGTCAATTGGAGGAAATGAGAGAGAAAATGGGAAAGGATATATGCACCCTTATTGATAACCATGCTCTTAATAGGAGAGTTTTTGGGAGCACACGCTTTAATTGAATGGTATATTTGTGGAATTTTGTTGAATTTTTACACTAACACTTTGTTTGGATGGAAGGAAATTGAGGGAAAGAAAAAGGGAAGGAAATGGAGGGATGAAGTATCTTTTATTTGGATAACAAATGAGGAAGGATAATAATTGGAGGGGGGGGGGGAGATATGAAGGGATTAGATTGTTCGAAATTGATCTCTAACAATGAAGAGATTTGGAAGGAAAATTCATCATTCTTCCCTCTCCTTCCCTTCCCTTCCCACCCTTTCCCCTCCCCCTTTTTCTATCTAAAGATTTCAAACACTGTAAAGAGGCTATGAGATATAGAGGCAATACTATAACCTTTTCATTGAGTTTTCTCAAAAGCTATAGCCAACCCAATAGTGCACACATGATACCTTCGACAACCTAGTGAAGCTTTATCCAACACACTGAACTGAACTTGAAGCTTTGAGAGTCTTCAAGATGTAAGCTACGAAGTATATCGTAGTACTTCAAGAAAAATTTTGGACTTAATACTTTATAGTTGAGGTTTTATCCATAAAACTAAGGCGTCTTTTGGTGATTGCTTACCCAAAGTCTAACAATGTATTTGGATAGAAAAGGGGGAAGGAAAAGAAGGGGTGGGAAGGGAAGGGGAGGGGAAAGAAGAAAGATGAGTTATCCTTTCAAATTTCTCCATTGTTGGAGAGATCAATTTCTTACAATTTAATCCCTCCACTTCTCTTCCCTCCAATTCTCTTCCTCTCTCATTTGTTATCCAAAAGAAATATTATACATCCCTCCATTTCCCTTCTCTTCTTTTCCTTCCATTTCTTTCAATCCAAACAAAGTGTAAATGATTGACATACAAAAACAATTAAAGGAAATTGGGAAAGCTACTTTTTTAGGAAATGTTTTCTATCAAAATAAATGGAGCCTAATTTAAATAAACCTTCTAAGCACCATCCCCTAATTCCTCATATGATACAATGAGGCCTTTCTGACCCTAGGAAGTTTTCCCCAACATCGGCTTTAGTTTTGACAATGGGCTCCAAAATTTTCATCGAGGTATGAATATGATAGAATCACTGGGGAGCTGCAAGTTAGAAGTTAAAACACAAAAAAGTTGTAATCCGTATACGTTCCTAGTGAGATTAAGTCAAACATTAAATATATCCATTTTATGTGCAAAGAGATTATTTTAGTCATCTTCCTCAAGAAAAGACCTTCATGTGAAGGTCATACAAAAATCACTCACAAACATATACAACTTTGTACTAGATGCTTATTTAGTATCAGTGAAATTCAATGGCATTCATAGATCCATTTCCAAGGTTTTGTTACATATCCTACACTAATATTTATCGGAAAGAAGAAAAGACGCTCCTGTGTGCCAAAATACAATCTATGAGCAAGAAACATGTACTTTTGATAACAATTTTCTAAATGTTTATGAGCAAGAAACATGGTCAACATGATAAGCAGTATAAATGCATGGAATATGCTCAAAATTTCCAAAGGTATGGGCAAAAATTGGTTTGGACGTGGGCATGTGCTGCTTTTTGACATCAACCAGAGTAACCAAGCTCAAAATGAAGCATCCCAAGGGTTAAGGCCCAGTGGTGAATCTCTCAAACTTCAACAGCATCAATATTGCAAAGGGTTCACAGAGCTCAAGTTTTCAAAGGCAAGACTGGCAAGTGGCAACTACACTTTTTTAAAAAAAAAAACATGATCAAATTAGCAAGAGAAGCCCCAATAATTACAGATTTAACAGAAGATATGTTCACTTGGAAACTAAGTATCTGGAATTACTTTGGAGTTAAAGCCTGACAGCAAAAGAAACAGACATGAGATACTTACTTCATAGTTCTTCTGATCGGTCCTCTTTGCCAATTGATAAAGCAGAAGGTTCACATGGTTCTCCAGCATAAATGAGGTTCCTTTGTTGAAGAGATGGATTCATGCTCGACTCCAGTATCTGCTGGGTAAAGAACATCTCTTGGTTTGAAAATGCTTCATCATTATTGGTCAAACATGGCTGCTTTACTGATCTCTCTTCATCAAGATTTTCACACATGATAGCATCCTGGCAAATAGAGTCTGGAGTCAATGGTTCCTGTTGAGATGAGAAAGACTCATCTAAAGATGTGGTCTTAGCAACTGCACAATCTTTGCTGTATTTGCCCAAGGGTGATTCTGATGTAGGAGCAGGAGTTGTAGGGTCACTCTTTATAGATTCTGAATCTTCAGAGCCGGGCACTTCAGCAAGAGTTCCACTAAGGCGCTGCTGCTCCTCTATTATTTTCTTCAAGTATTTACCCTGAGCTTCTATTCGTAACTGTAGCTGTCTTTGCACCTATTGCATGTCAAATACATCAACTGATCCTGAAACTATGATTTGTTCTAGTTTTAGAGAGGGGGGGGGGGTCTCTAGGGAGCTATGCAGAGCAAGACCTGTAACAATAAATTAAGAGGAATAGAAATCTGCCACAGTTATTTGTTTCACCACCTTTAAGACGTTTAACTAAACTGGGTGGCACAAATTATATCCGTCCCTTAAAAATTATCTCATCCCAGATTTTCTCTTTATTAAGAGTAAGTAGAATTGTATATTAGCATGTGGGGCAGTATATAAACTAGAGAGGGATGGTTAGGGACGGCCAAAAAAGGAAATTGGGACAATCATGTATTTCCATCATCGTCTCTCGCCATATAACATGCAAAACTATACGAAGAAGCAGTTCAGAATCATAATAATTATTAAGAAATGACAATCGACTAACGTTAACAATTTAGTATTTTCACAGGCATTAAGTTAGGGCTAGAGCCACAATCATGATGATTGATGATAAACTTGACACTTAAGTGAAACAGAGATATATCCTCCCATATGAAAACAAGTGGGAGCTGGGGGGGTATTAAAACACACAATCTTTTGATTTACAAATATAAAAAAAAAATTAAAAAAAAAAAAAAAAAAAAAAAAAAACCCTGCTTCAGTCCTTCTATTCAACTTCTCTCAATACAAAAAAATAAATAAATAAAAAAAAAATAATAAGAGGAAGACATTTTTCAAACAATGGTGATCTGCCTCTTTAAGACTTCCTTCAAGCCAGCAATCATTAAAAAAATTCTCTCAATTGTAAATCTTTATTCCATAAATCAGTTCTAAGGGTAGTCAAGTCTGTCAACCCTTCAACCAATTTTTTTTTTAAATATTTTTTTTAAAAAAAAAAAAAAAATTGGAGGATCGAGCACAGGGGAAAGATAATAAGTCCCAATATCTCCCATTATCCCATACCAGAAAGTCTCCAAGAGAACTGGTTTCAGATCACTAATTGAAAAAACTCTTATTAGGCTTCAACTAAAAAGGTTTGAACTTCTTCATTGAATCATTAAAGTCAAAGCTCTTCAAACCATTTTTTTTATTTTTTTATTTTTTTGGAATGATAATAAAATGGTAAATTCTAACTGGCCTACTGCCTACCAATTAAAAAAAATAATACAATTGAAAAACGGCATAAAAAAGGCGATGGATTGATGACTCGTAGCTGGCATCACGAGGTGAAGTGGATTTAGGGTTTTGTTACATAGGGCATATCGGCTTCGAAAATGTTACATATCCGAAGAGCCAATCTGGAAAATAGGTATTCCATGTTCTGGTGTGCTGGTATCATTCAAACATAAAATAGAGGCCTAATTTATGTCAGTAGCCCGCCCTTTTTTTCTCTTTTATCTAAGTTAGAAACAATTTAACTCAGGGATTTAAGTTAGTTACTTTACCCACTCATAATAATAAGCTTCCTCTTACACTATGTTTGGATAACAATAGTGAAGGGAAAGGGAGGGGAAGGAAAAAAGAGGTGAGGGAAGGAAGAAGGTGAACTTCCATTTTCCTTCCAAATCTCTCCAACAATGGAGGGATTTGGTTTATTAAAAGGGGAAGGAAAATGAATCCTCCCAATTCTCTCCCCTCCTCTCCTTGCATTAGGTATCTAAACAAAGGATGATCCATCCTCCCTTTTCTCTTCTCTTTCTTTCCCTCAATTTCTCTCTATCCAAACATAGTGTTAATGTCCAAATCCAACTTTAAATAAAAAGAAAAAAAAAAAATAGGACTGTTAAAAGAGTAAATGCCACTTTTTTTTTTTTTTTAATAATTCAAATATAAATAGGTTTATAATACTACATAGTAGATTAAACGTACCCTGATTGCTAGAAGTGAGGATATTCGCAAGAAAGTGTGGCAGGCATTGCAAACAACCTAAGGGAAAATCGCCTGCATTGGTTTGGGCATGTAAGACGGAGGCCCGAGGGTGCACCGCTACGAAGAGTGGAAGAGTGGGACCATGGAGGGGTTAAACGAGGGAGAGGGAGACTGAAAATGACTTGGTTAGAAGGAGTAAAGAAGGATATGAAGTATATGGATTTGCATGAAGATGAGGCATTAAATCGTAAGGGATGGAGGAGGAAGATTTATGTCGATGACTACACGGAATAATCACTTATTGTTCATGTAGCCTACCCCACTTATGGGATTAAGGCTTTGATTGATTGATAATTGCTAGAAGTGAATTATTTTGACCATAAAAACAGGTAGTCAAACTAGCTCATACAATCAATTAACAATTTATAGCCAAAGGGTTAATATCTCAAAAACCTGGGTATTGCTTCCCTCCTTCATGGCTATATTTATTTTAAATTACTTGGTATTTGCAATCTTAAGTTAAAAAAGTGCAAGAAGATGATGTCAGAATTTTGGCTTTATAATTCTTTCTTTGTGGAGCATAACAGCATAATAACCCCCTCAGCCACACCCCCCACCCCCCCCCCCACCCTTCCCCCTTTTCTTCCAAGGGGTGTGGGTAGAAATTGGGGGCAGGAAGATGAAGACATGACATCAGTGTGGCATCCACAGTCCAACTCCTAAACAATTGTCACTTAGCACATGTTTTAAAGGGAGCAAGCAACCATTGGAATCAATTTGTTTAAAGAGAAAAAGGATCTAACAGTTTCTTAGAGACTGCACAAAGAAACACATGCCTCCAATTGCTCATGCAATCGCTTCTGCACCTCCATTTGCAGCTTTAGTGCCTCGGTGATTTGCATACCACTGCAAAGGAATTAAACTCCAATCAGCATAACTTTCCATCTTCATAAGCCTTCATATATGAATATTCTGAATAGAAGACCAACAGGATAAATCTGACAAGCATCCCCACAGCACCCCAAAATATTCCCTACACAAAAGTTGAGACTCATAGAATCATATATACCTCATATTCATCAATACAATATCTGCTTCCTCAACTAAATTTTACAAGACAAATAACTTAAAGCAAATAAAGTATTAACTTACGATGAACTTTCCAAACCATAAAGCATATCCGCAGATTCCTTCTTGTCTGCTTTTTTCCCTAGCATTACCAATGTCAAAATTGAAAGAAAAGAAGGTAATAGTAACATAATGAATCACCTTAAAAGAGATAATGAAAGGAAATCTATCAAATCCAGAACTTAAAAACCAGCTCTATGCTCCACAATTTAATAAACAGGTCATAGTTAACAAGCCAAACAACGGACATCAAACAATAACCTTCACCAAATCATGAAAGAATACTAACCCTCAGATAAGGAATCAGGGAGGTACTTAGCAAGACGATATTTCTGAAAAGAAGAACGTGAAAAATGAAAACAAAGAAGCTATAGTAAAACTAAAAGTTCTGACAAAATAGACAAAAGAAAAAAACAAAGGGGAAAAAAAAAAAGTTCTCTGAGTACACAAAAAAAGAATTACCTGTAAATGGCTTTTGACATGATATATTGTCAAGCCTTGTACTCCCATGACCCTAAGGACACCTTTGGGAGTAGCACCTGAAAAGCAGAAAAGTAGGCTTAATCTCCAAAAAAGTGTTATGTAGAGATCCACACAAGATGTAATTTACTTTAACCACAAAAATTGTAAATTTCATAATTAAATGTTCTTGCAGAATAGATTTTCTTTTAAAAGGGTTTCAATAAGAGGCAGATTTACATTCCAAAGTTAATAGAGCATATGACAATAGCATGTAAAAAATTGGTCCCTTGAAAGTGATATATAAAGATGGCAAATAAAATTGCTAGCATCAAAACAAAGAATGAAGAGGACAACAATACACAAAACACTACAGGGAGAATGGATGAAAAAGGAAACTAAGTAGCCTAGTGCTTAGCCCAATGCTTAACCCTTACAACTTAAAATCTATTTAAAGACACAACACACCTAATTTAGTCCAATAATAAAAGTTTGCTTATAAAACCCATACTTTAAAAAAGTGAAGTTACCTATCCTGTGTTATCTTGCTTTGCTAGTGTTGTGCTCTTAGGCCGTTATGGATATTGAACTGAGACTTGTTTTAAAGCACCACAAAACCAATAAAGACCAAGTCCAGCAACCTTCGTCACGGGCTCACGGCACAGCTCATGCTTGTGCGTATGAGGAAATAGGGGAAAATAAAAGAAAATTGAGGAGAAAAATAAGTGTAACATTCCATCAATAATGATTAATCTTGGGATTAGGTTTCCATAAGGCTCAACATTTTGCATACCTCCCTTGGAATATCACATATGTTTCAATATAAACAAGTTAAACAACTATAGATAAACATCAAATGGTGGGTGTAACACACGATAAACAAAAGTGTGATAGCCCAATGAAGGATTCCCTATTCCCAACACCATAAAAGGACCTTAGGATGCCTAGTTAGTGAATGGAACCATCTATTACAGCTCTTGGCTACAATTACGAAATAGCCATGTCATTAAACTAAACACATTATCAAGACATTAGAAAACTATTTACAGGCCAAATAAGGTCCTAACCAACTTTTATTATTCCAGGAGACACCCTCAACATCCATTTCAATGAAAAAATTTCACAAAAATGATTCGATATAATGTATTATATCCTTTCATTTTAGAGTTATTCAATTTCCCAGATTTGGAGAGAATATAGGATAAGGTGTTCCCCACAAATTCTTAAGAGGTCAATTGGGTGGCTAGAACATTTAACTTACCTCGCAACTATCTGTTAGGAATTAGTATGAAAACAGTAAGTAACAAGCTAGATAGAGATAGGAAATGGCAGCCAAGGGATAAATTGTATTATCAAACAGAGTATTCAATAATACAGGGCCTTCTTTCGAGAGGAAGGTGCTCTCCAAAACAAACTCCTTAACAAATTTCTGCATGCATTCCCCTTGACCCCAAACTTCAATTAATACCCAAAAATGAAGCAAGCTAACAAACTCTAGAAGCAGCTAGCAAAAGGAATCAAAATAACAAACTCGGTAACTAACTTATTCATGAATTACTACTTTAAAGTAGTAATCCTTGGGCCAAGTGATATCCATGTCATTAAACTAAACATCTTATCCCCAAAACTGATTTCTTAACAACATCCCTCTCATCAATTGTTAGTATCCTTGGGCCTTCTTGCATAAGTGAAACGGATACCAAGCTTGGGCTGATCCCTTGCACTATCATCTTATCCGATAAGAGTATGCATCTGTCAATGGATTAAAGTCATCCCAGGTTTTAACTACTTGTGTTGCTGCGTGCTCACAAGCCATTTTCATGATTGGAAGGCGCGATATACAGTGTCAAGAAAACTCAGAGTATATCGGTGAGGACATTTTTCTTTTCATTGAAAATGGTGTAGATAATTAAATAAAAGGGACAAGAAAGCAACAAATAAATGGTATCTTCATGATTGCTACTACACATGTAATAATGGAGAGGAATACAAATATGTTATATATTTATAGATTTTAAACATTCTTTAGAGAGAAATCCTCCATTACAAAGAGTTCCACTATAAGTTTTTGAACTAAATCATCAAAATGAAATGTTCAAGCATAATTTATTTTTATTTAAAAGGGTTTCATGATAAGTTTATGAAATTCCAATAATGGATACAAAGAGAGGGAGATATACATATCAAGTTATTAGAGCATTTCATTATAGCTTGTCCAATAAAAAAAACTCATTTATAAAACCCAAACTTTAAGGGAGTTCTGATACATAATTGTGAATCAAAACTTCCTAGCTTGTGCTATCTTGCTTTAAAACTAGTGTTGCATTGTTAGGCCATTATAGATATTGTGCCACCACTTTTAAAAACCCGGCCCAAAAATCACATACAAGGAAATATTAGGGAAGGTGAGGGAAATTGAATAAATATATTGTAATATTTTTCCATCAAGAATGAAACCTGTTTTGCATACTTTGTATCACATAGGTTTTACGATAAACAACTCACTACCAATATCAACAATTGCAGAACACAATTATAAACAACCAACATCAACAAAGGTATGATAACCCAACGAAGGAATTCTGACACCTTAATAAGACCCTTTGAGATCTATCTGGTGATTGGAAACATATATTACAGCTCAACTACCATTACGATATTTCCATGTTGTTCGGCTCAATCAAAGGACTTTAAAGACTTACTGGTAAGCCTATTATATGGTTCCTAACCAGCTATTATATCCAACATCTACTTTCCCATGTGTGTATGGAGTAATAGTCCTGCATCGAAAGTGGTTGAAAGGTCACCTTATAAGGTTTGTGGAATACTCCTAATGCCATATGGATTTAAGATAGAACCACTCTTGACCTATGCACCAGTACTTCAACATTACTGCAACATTGCATCTGTGGTGATTGCCCTTCTTAATACTACCCCTTCTGTCTCTAAAGTCTAAACATAGGGAGTACTCAAAGATGAGGCATCACGTAGTGATAAAACTCTGAATTTGCAAGGAAATGCTAGTTTAGGTAAAGCCTAGTTGTTTTTCGGTCAAAGCATATGAACATCAAAAAACCAATACGTGGAATTACATTAAGAAAAAAAAAATGAAAGAGGATCAAATCATCTAGCAAGTAGCAAGCATGAAATTAAAACACCCATATTGGAGGCAAAAGGCGATGCATCATTAACAATCATGTTCTTTCTTAACTAAGGCAATCATAATTTCAACAAGCATCATCAGAGTTAATGGAACATACGATCTGGCCCACCCAGTTGTGCAACAGCATCAACAAAACGCTCATGAAGTTCATTGGTCCATCGGAGTCGTTGCTTCGAAGACATACTAGTATTGTTACTGAGGCTATTGTTGTTGACTGGATCCATTGTTGCCAGCACCAAAGTCCAAATGTCAACTAGGAGTTTCAACATGTAAGTTTGACAAAAATAACAATCAAATTTACAACGGAAAAGAAATCGAAATTCACAAAAGCATCAGACATTACAACCTAAAAAAAACAGATTTCAGTGAAACAATTCCCCAAATCAAACAAATTGGAAAACAGAATAAACCCCACATTAAGTTAAGTCACATTTGCTAAAATGACATAATGAATTGAAAGAAGGTGGTTTAAATGTATTGAAAATCGTTCAGTAAGATGAGAACAAGAGACAAATTAAGCCCCAAATAAAGGGGAGAAGATAGCATTGATTTCCGAAAAGACAAATCTTGTTTGTTCCTCTTTCTTAGTTGCAGTAAATTGAAGGAAACAAAGTGAGAATGAAAAGGGGGTTGGAGACGAGACTTACCAGAACGCCGCAAGAGAACAGCCTGGTTGCCGACCGGAGCTTTCAGGAGCGGGACTAGAGAATGAAGAAGGGAGTAAGAGGGATACGAAAATCGTTTCAATATGATTTTTTAAATCTAATATCATACCACATCACTAATAAATAAAGTCAGTCTTGCAATCAAGTCACTAGATAGCGACCCTTGTATTCCAGTTTTTCTCCAAGTGTCACGCCACGTAGGCAAAAACTAAATAATATACTACACAATCTAATATGATTTTATTACTATATATAGACATGTCAATCGAATTGGATCATAAGTCATTTCGGAGCGGGTCACTTCAGGTTACGGGTCAAGAAATGTTCAACCCTAACCCAAAGTTTTGGTCCGGGTCAACCCAACGAGTTTAAAACAATTTATTTATTTAATTTATTTATTGTTATTACTAGAAATTTCTAATATTTCATGCTTACTTTGCTATTTTTTAAGTATTTAATCGAAGATTTTCACCAATATTATTATTAGTCATTACATGTGTTTCGGGGTTTTTTGATGTCCTGCGGGAGAGTTACAATTCCGGGACTGGTATCCTTGCGCCTGTACCTGCAAAATAACGGAGACTCCGGGCGGTGGGAGCTCCGTCTCCGATGATCAAGTTAGTATTTGTATGTGAAGTAAAAGGTGCGGAAAGTAAAGGGTGATCTGGTTCCTCTAGGGGAGGACTGATCAGGAAGTGCAATTAATTGCTAAGTCAGGTCTAGCAATCAGAAAGCACGTGTGTTTAGGCTTCTCTAGTTGAGGGTAATTATTTCTGAATCCCCCTTTTACTAAGGATTAATGAATGTATTTATAGTATTGGGAAGCGTGCCCAATCCTAGGTTTAGGTCAACCTAGAGCTGATTAGGCTTTTCCCGAAAACTGGGCCTAGGTAGCCATTTTCCTAGGTGGCAAACAGCAGGCCACTTGGCGTGGCATGATTGGTCCAAGCTGGACTGATCAATGCGCGACATGTGTTAGGCTCTAAGTGGTCCATGTGACGGACACATGGCAGGGCCTGATTGGTCCACGTGTCAAACTATGATTGGGCGGGGAAAATCCCCTAATCATTTGCCCCTCACAGGTGGTACGTGACTGGTCAAATGTCACCTGTGATAGGTGTCGGCTCGTAACTAGGCGACGGTCTGTGACAGATGTCGGCCTGTGGCAGGCCGCCTGTTTTTTCCCGCCTATTTTTGAATCAGGACGTGACCCTTCAAATTCTCGAAGAACCCTATATAAGGGCATGTTGACCAAGTCTTTTGTTCACATTTTGCGAATTTTGCAAGAGAACTTGGAACCCTGAACTTGTGCTCTGAGATTTCTGGACGACTGATATTCGACCAACTGTTTACGCTAGCCGATTGATTTGTGGCGACCGGCTACTTAAAGCTTCCATCTCCTTTCTCAGAACATACTTCAGGTAACCGTCTGTTTTGCTCTGCACTTTTCATTTCTTTGCATTTTTCTTTTTCTTTTAAGAATATGGTATCCCAAAAGCACCCGACACGACCTAAGTTAGTGATTAGTCAGTCACCGGGGACGGCTGAATCTAGGACTAGGAGTGCCGCCTGCCCCTTTTTGGACCAATCTCTGCCCTATGCTCCAAGTCCGACTGTCTCTGTGTCTGTGTAGGACACTATGGCTAGAAAAAAGAGGACGGCCAGATATACCAATTCAGACGGCTCCTCATATTATGTGCAGTTGAGCGAGCTCTCGGACAGGTCGCCTGGTGACCCAAGTACTCCAAGTGACTCAATTCTAGAAGAATATGAGGTTCAGACGACCAGTCCTATGGTTGTAGATATGTTCGGCCTAGAGCCGGCCCTCTCTGAGAAAGAGGAGTCGGCCTCTTCTGAGAGTTCTAGTGACTCTGAGTTTAGTTCATCTAGATGACATTCTCCAGATTCGGAGGAGAGGCATTCTCGTCTTCATGAGGCGAGAGTATCTCACTCTGCTGAGAAGGGAGACAACTAGGCAGAACCATCTGCTTCTCAAAGAGAATCGCACACTGCCTTCTTCTGTCACATTCCGAAAGGCCGAATTAAGGCCATGACCGAGAGGTTAGGGACCTTTTAGGCGGACCACGTGATGAGTCCTGATTACTTTCTTTCAGTGTCGGATGCTGAGGATACGGTAGTCTGGCCGGAGGGAGCCAGATATGGAGACGCCTGTTTCGGATGTTATGAAGCGGCCATTAAGGCTGGGTTAAGATTTCCCCTGTATCCGGCTGTTCAACAAATCCTGGATGGATATGAGGTGGGGCTCTGGCAGTTGGCCCCAAACTCATGGTTTAACATTTTAGGCTTTGTAGCCGGCTGTGAAATGCATGGGGTTGAGCCAAATTTTGCTGCGTTCGCTCAGATGAACTACCTGAGCCGGACCCCAAAGGCAAGCGGTACCGGATGGTACCAGATTTTTAGCCACAAAGGCTATTTGATGACGAGGGGGAAGGAGAACAAATGGAAGGACTGGAGAAACACCTTCTTCATCATTTCCAGCCCCAACAAACTTTTGAACAGGAGATACAATAGGTGGAACAGGGATCCACCTCTCCTCGCAGGCGGCTCTACCATGCCGCCTGTTCCTCGTCAGGCAAAAGAAGAGATCCTCGATCGAGGACTCTTTAAAGTAGAGATCAGGATTAACTCTGATTCTGGGGACCGGGAGCTTGTCCCTCTTAAATGCATACCCAAGTTTAATTGGTTGTACGATGAATATTTCCTGGCCGCCTGTGGTCTTAGCGAACGGACCCCTAGAGGTAGTCGGCCCCTGTTACGCTCTTAATATTTTTTCTTGGCTTGAATTTCTTATTAACCCTGAGATGTTTTTGCAGACAAAGCTATGGACAAAATTTCCGCTTCAAAGAAGGCGACCGCCCTTCTTCGCGCGGCTATACTTGCCTAGAAGCAACCCTCTACCGACTCTCCCTCAAAGGAGGCGTTCAAGGTGAGCCCTCGAAACTTGGTCATATTCTTCATCTTATTTTTCTTCTTTTCTTAATGGATTTGGTTTCTCATTGAAGGGTGGAGCACCCAGACCCTCTCCCTCTGAACAACCGAACCCAAAGGTTCGAAAGCAGACGGCTGGGAGTATGCTTGGTTCTTCCAGGAAACAGCCGTCTGAAAAACAGAACTCCCCAAAGCGGGGCAAAACATACAACCGTCCCTAGAGACACTCGGCCTCTAAGAGGTATAACTGTTTTTCTTGGATTCTCTTACTAGCTCAAACAATTTTAGATTAGGCGGCCTTTTGCTTCCTTTTTTCTGATAAATCTTCCATTCTTCTTGTTGTAGGCGGCCACCAAGAGCCGAACTTGGTGCAAATGGCCAAGTCTATGGTCAAGGCCATTCCCTTAGACGAAAGGGAAACAGTCAGGGGAGTCGGTACCCTAGACTTGGACTCTATCATGGGTCTACTCTCTGAGGTAGACTTGATGAATTTTCTTCGACATTGAGAAACATTGGCATCTAAGTGCCGCCTGTTTCTTGAAAAAACTTTGACGCCTGATTTGTTGATTCACAGGCCTTGCTTCGTGTTCATGGTCTCCGCCGCCCCATCAATGAAAAGAACAAGGAGGTAAAGGCTGCGAAGGCTATGGTCGCCTCTGATTGTGACCGGGCAATGTTTTAGATTGCCCAAAATGAGATTTTTACAACTAACATCTTGTATTATCAGGCGACTGCCACCTTGCAAGTTAAAGCCGAATTGGAGGCGGCCAAGAAGAAAAACTTGGACCTGGAGAAGGCGGTTAAGGACCTCCAAACTCAGTTGCAGCCGTTGAAGCATGCAAAACATGCGACCGAAGAGCTTAAAAAGTAGAACTAGAAGCTCAAGGAGCGCCTGTCATCCCAGGAAGCGGCCCTGACCAAGCAACTCAGCGCTAAAGCTGAGTCTGAGAAGATGGCCCTGGTTCAGGATATGATGGAGGATTATTCGGCCGTAATGAAGACGACCTGGACTGCTCTCTTCCCAGACTCAACTTATGAGCAATGAGAGTCCAAATTCGTCGCCTGCACTGAAGAATATAACATCAAGATCATGCAGCAGGCGAACGATGAGGATGAAGCGAAGGAAGAGGCAGTCGACTCCTCTTCTGAAGGAGAGGATGAAGGTGATGAGGAGGAGGCGGACGCCAATAGGGGAGAGACTGAGAAAAAGGAGGCGGACGCCAACCAAGTACAGGCACCGGCTAATGAGCCTCAAGAGAGTTTGCTTGAGAAGCAGGCGCCTATTGCCGAAGCTGATCAGGCGGCCATCGTTATTGAGAATCCTCTCTCCAATGCTTAAGCTGCTTATTTTTTCAACTCTTCTTCGGCCTGCGAGCCGTTTCTTCTTGTATCTTTTTACCCGACCAAGGGGTCGGGGTCTATGAATATTTTGCCGGTCTTTATGGCCGACTGTTAATACTAATTTGG